AGGTGGTTATTGCAATTCGCACCTGTTCTGTCCTTCTCTATTGAAGCTGATGTCGTGTCGATTCTCGGGGTCGTATCGGTGAATACGTTGGGCACAATCGGTCCGCTGCGTATTCATGCGGAGGAGTACCTAGTCCAGGTGGAAGTTGCGTAGAGTCGCCGAATAGTCGGAATCGGCACTAGCGTCAGGGGACCCGTATCCGTTTTGAATGATGCAAAGGTGAGATTTGTATAGTTCCCTGGCCCCAACGAGTAGATGTAGGCGTCGGCAGTGTTCGGTGAAGTCCGGGTCCAAAAGACTCTGAATGTTACGAAGATTCTCAGCCTGTTCGCGAATTCGAGCAGCAAAGTAACTGGATCCGTGGCGCTCTTCTGGGTCGTGGCTGACGGGGATGGGGGGAAGGGGTGGGCTGACGAGCCGTTGGAGGTTGTGAAGGGTGTTGAGGACCAGCTGAACTTGTTCAATGAGAACCTGGATGTGTGCTTGCTTGGAGATCGGGGTGAGGGTCGGGTGGTGGTTGGTGATGTCGTACAACGCGCTCGCGTTGTCCCGAATTCTCGTAAGGAGGGAGAGGATGTCTAGTGGTTCGGGGCTCAGGGGGTTGCCTGCCGATGATTCTTGCTTGGTGTCGACGAGCGATGGTAGTTCGTCGTCCGCGTCGTACCCGTCGTCACGGAGTACCCAATGCTCGAGTTCGTCAAGGATAGTAAACTCGAGGCTCGCCTGGTCTGGTGTCCAAGAGCCGATGCTCAGGCGATATTCGTTCCAAATTGGGCTATGAAGGACGGCTCGTGCGTGAGTCCTTCCGATCCGGTCAAGCGTCCGTTGACAGATGAGTTCGATAGCTGCCTGTCTCTGAAGTGTTGGTGCTACTGGTCGATCGAGGAGTAATCCTTCCTGGTAGGTCGCACGTCTGTGTGCTTCCTCGAGCTGCCGAATGGAACGTTTGGCGTCCGCTGGTGTGGCTTGGCGTCGTACTAGGTTGTACGCTCGATGTTCCTCGGGGGTGCGGTTGTGGTTGTAGACGACTACCTCGTCGTCCGTGTAACTGACCGTAGTATGGTCACGGCCGTGCGTTCGTCGAAGTCGGTCTGCGAGTTGACAAATAGAGTGCGCCACGGTGAGTCCTATCCAGGGCGTGGTGGGAGAACTTCTATTCTAATGTTACGCTGAAGTACCAACACAAGTCTATCCAGACTTATCACGCAGACTTATCCAAGTACGCGGTGTAGCACACGGGAGAGAGAGTATCGCACAAGTCCCTAGATTGAGGGATATAGGGATACAGGAGGTAACGAAGAAGAGAACAGAAGTGGGGAGCCTCTACCGACTACAGGCCTCCTTATATACTATGGGGTACCGACCATATTAGGAAGGAAAAGGTAACCGACCAAAGTGGGGAGGTATGAGAAGACTGTAAAGGAACACGTCTGGTCGAGGCTGGGCCCGGTATAGTACATGGCCTAGGTCAGGGTCCTGTGATATAACTGAAAGGGGATAGAGGCGGGACAGGGTCCTGAGTCTAGGTCAGGGTCGGGTAATGTAACCAAAACGGGAAGGGGGCGCGACAAGGGTCGGGGTCTGGGTCAGGGTAAAGTAATGTAACCGAAAAGGGAAAGGGTCAGGGTCGGACTCAGGGTCCGGTCATATAGACGAAAGGGGAAATATTAAGGGAGAGGGCCGGGACTAGGAACGCAGTCGTCAGGGGTCGGAATGGGGGATGGTAGTGTACAGGCGGACGACAGGGGAACGGGAGGGTAAGCATAGGTCACCAGGAACAGGAAGGGGGGTGGAGTGTACACGAGGGCGACGAGAAGGAGTAGTCCAATAGCGAAAAGATAGGGGGTGGGGCGTACCAACGGTAACAGTAGGGCTGCTAGCTACCTACAGAGGAGATGGGGGATCGACAAGAAGATCAAGTCTGAGGCAGGGAACCTCAGACTTGATCTTCTCGTCGATCCCCCATCTCCTTTGTAGGTAGCTAGCAGCCCTACCTCTTCACTGCCCCTTCTAGTCTAGGGAATCTACTTCTTTGCATCATCTCTTGCTGTGTCACCTGGAGTTGCTTCGCCCCTCAGCACCAACCCCATCACCAGTGAGCTTGTCTTTGTTTATCTAGTGGCACAGCTCGTTGACTGTGACAAGTCCGGGGGTTTATATACTGAGAAGCCGGTGTCCTTTAAGTCCGAATCGGAGGTGGAGGTCCGATCGGAGGTGACGGAATACCGACGCTAAGTATAGAAGTGATGTAAGTGGCACCAGGCACTGATATGGGAAAACGGACATTCCAGCGGAGATAGGGTAGACGCTCGGAAAGCCATATGGGCCCCGGCGGGGAACGGAAAGGAAACGGAAAGGAAATCGAAACCAGTACGTAAGTATCTATTTGTAAGCAAGTCCGGAGGTCCGGCGGAGTTAGCGCAGTGTCCGACAGAGTTCCGGAGGGACTTAGGCATGGGACGTAACAACCTCCAGCAGACCACATGATAGTAGTATCAAAGGTCAGAAGACAGAAAGGAATGCATAAGCATTTATTTATAAGCAGGCCAGAGTTCCAACAAAGGATGTTCAGGTTCTCATCAGAGTCCTGGAGGAACTTGGGCATAGAGCATCACAAGTTCAAAAACTGGGTGGAGATTGGAAGGACAATGCTAGCTCATGTCCAAGAGCTCAATCATTTTTAGAAACTATGCCTGTTATCAGGCCAGAACCTATCCTCTTCATCTCTATAGAGGGTGCCAGATGATTCAAGACAACTAACCCCTGCTCCTTCTCTTTGTTTCTGCTGCCATCCTGCTCAAGAGCATGAGCAGCGTCACAGCAGTTATGGCGACCTCATACCTTGCTTACGGGAAGACTCGAATACCCTCCGAGAACCCTGAACGGTCGTGCATTCTTCAAGGAGGGTTGCCATACACCTCCGACTTGGGCTCCCCCCATAACGTCATAGAATAGGAGTGCAGTATCCTCGTAGACGCGCTGGAAGGCCATCAGATTGTGTGCGTTGGTACATCAAACAGAAATCTCACTGTCAGGTCTCTGAATAATGCTGCAGCGGGGTCAAAACCAGGCAAGACTGACGACGTGGAGTTCGCGAGGCCGGCGTTAGCATACTGGGCTTTCGCAGCCCAAATGGAAGGATCCGCCTCCACACTTTGATAATAGCGAGGCAAAACGGCGGGGTTGAGCTCAGCAACGAAGTCGTAGTCTTCCGTGGGATGCTGGAACAGTCGCTACGATATCGCGTAAGCCCCTGCTGACAATATACTTCAGTGCGGACACAAACCGTTACTTCTAAGTCTTGAGAGTCCCACTGAGCTAGGCTCGCCCACGTGGCCTTCGCAAGAGTGGTTATGCGCCGTGCAACGACGGCGTTGGGACCAGATGATGTCCACACGTGGCCCGACGCATCAAACTGGGTGACTAGAGACCACGGTGCAGTGCCAGAAGCGGACGGCGAGGCGTCCGCAGTCGCTACGTCCTGATCACTGAAGTCCAACGGCACAACTAGACCCTTGGTCCAGTCCCAATCCTCGAGGAACTTCAAGACTTGGGCGAAACCTCGCTCCTTGGTCCCAGGCACCCCTGCGGGAAGCATCATCGTCTCCGCCGTGACACTGGCACCCGTCCGCAGGAAAATGTGAGCACAGAGCAACTCTACGGCCTCTTCGGAGACGTGACTGCAGAGCAACCAATGTGACGCGAACCACCGCTTCGTCAACCGAACAGTTCCCGCAAATGCCGCGAACTTGTGAGAAAGCGCAGCAATGACGCGATGATGTCGTGGGGCATGGATGAACCTCCGGAGGTAGACGTCGCGCGCCTTGAGCGCAGCCTGTCGTTCGCGGGCTTCTTCTCCCGTAATATTACGCCTCAGAGCTTTCGGGACGCGGGACTGCTCGTTGATGACACGATCTAAAAGCGTTGCCTCGCGATCATGCCATATACGTACGCGAAATGCCCAACCGTCCGGTGTGACGATATCGAGAGCGGCCTCGTCCTGGATCTCCGTCCGCGCGGTATGTTCGCCGAGGACGACGCTCGCCTGCAACCCCTTCGCGGCCGCCATGAGTGCAGTCGCCATTCGCTCGAAGAAAGCAAGTTTGATCTTCTGGATGGCGCGTAGGTCGTCAGGCCATCTGCCAGACTTCTCGAACTCCACAATGACCTCCATGGCGGGCAGATACGAGGCAGTCGTGGGAATCCCAACCCGCGATGACGGCGTCACCGCGATCGGCACGAAGACTTCCGTGTGTCTGAGCGAAGCAGAGACGGGGCTCACGTTCAGGATCGCGAGTGGGAACTGGTCGTCGAGGGATTTAATCTGCTTGACAAGGGCATCGAAAGCGGTGAGCGCCGCCTTGAAACCAGCAACTGCCCCTCGTGCCTCATACAGTGATCGGATGGACTCCGGCGCCTTCAGTAGAGCGTCGAACTGGGTTTGCCAGGTTTTGACGTCCTCCGCCCCGATCCCTAGATGTCTGCGTAGGAGGTGCTTGACAACCAAGGAAGGGATGTGCGTTCGCTCGTCGACACTCTTCACATCCCAAACGACGCTCTCGGTGATCGAGCCATCCTTGAAACGACGCAGCTCGGCCTTCTCGCCCCAGAAGTCACGGAAACGTTTCGCCTGTTCGCTCTCCTGATCCTCAGCAGGAGGACCGTGGTCCACAAGCCGGAATGCGTGCTCGTTATCCAAGACGATGCCTATGTGTATGGCAGAGGGGTTAGCAGGCAGAGCCTGGGAGAGGGGCCTGACATCAGAGGACGGATGAAGCACTGCGATGGCCTTGGCGCGATTCCCCAGACCTCGGCGGAGCGTCGAAGTGAGCGTCGCGATGAGTGCGTTGTAGACCGACCCATGGTCGGCAACCAGATGTGCGGAGGGATTACGCATCACTGCCGACGAGACGTCGACACTGACATCAATGAGACAGGTGCCAGGCTTACGAATGATCAAAACGGACACACCGAAGAACAATGTCAAAGCGGCTGAACATATCTCGGTGATCTTGCAAGAACACGGTATGGAACGGATCTTCCGAAATTCCCGAGCGATCCAATGTTTCTAGCGTAGCTTGCGCATCGTATCTCAACTAATGAAGAGCGAAGACATCCATAAATCAGGCAACGTGAGAGTGACTTAAGCCCTACCAGATCTAGCGACGACAATGGTACACCGGCCAAGAGGTTGACAGACGATGTAGAGTCGACGAAAACCGCTTCATGGCTAGCGTAGCTCATCGGAGGAAACTGATTTATATCCATCACCTTCATGTACACGAGGAGATGAAGGTGTGAACTGACCCTATGTCCGTCCTTTGACTTGACGTAGACGGGTTGCTCAGCGAAATCGTGCCGCGCTAGGACGATGCGTTAAAATGCTAGCAGCCATGATAAGACGGTAGGGATACCTACCAAAGAAGTCAAGTGCAGCCTTGAACAGCTGATAAGAGCTTAATCCCTTGCCTAGAGGTTTTCGCTTCGTACCCGTCTTTTTCACAGCCACAGGCTGAGGTTCCTCGCCGTGAATGAGCATGTCGAGTACAGATGCCCACCACATACCCTTCCCTTCGAAGCCTCGAACGCATAGCCTACTACCCATACCGTATCCTCGTTGATTTGCCCAAACGCGAAGCAACGTAAGGGCGTCAGAGAAGGCAGGCACGTCTTGTTTCAGAGCATGGATAGCCAACAGATGTGCTTTTGGGGTGATCATATGCATCAACGCGGTGTTGTAAAGTGGCGTCGGCTCCTCTTTCGAGTCATGGTCTTGTCCTGACGTGCGAACATTGGAACGCGAAGGGGACAGGCGTTGGAGTGGAATGGGCGAATGCGGCAGGAACGGAATGATGCGGACTTGAACATTGAGCTTGCGGAATCCCTCAACGGATTCGTCTAGAATACCAGTTAGGTTCTCGCGCATAGATCGTTGACATAAAGTACCTACGTGGTCGCAACACCAACGTCGTGTACCTCGGATCTCCTGAAGTCGACTGAAAGAAGAGGTCACACGGCAATGGAGAATTTTTGTTGACAAGAGCAGAGGCAATGGCAGACAAGTAGTATGCACGCTTCTGAAACACGCGCCCGTTGAGGTAGTCCTTCTCCTGGACTAGGCTCTGTAGAGCTGTCAGAATGTGTGATGTCAGTGGTACTGCACAACTCACCGATGGTATAGCCACAGCGACGTCAACCTCGTACTTGGAGGTATCTTTGCCCTTGACAGCAGTTTTGGTTGCCCAGCTTCCGGCAAGAACAATCTCTGACGGAGGTTCGAACGCAACTTTCCAGTTTGTATCTTCCGTCGGTAGTGGCCGAATGTAAGGTACGGCAACACCATTCTGGGAGAGCGTACGGGAAGCGTGGAGAGGATGTTGGGGAGGAGTAGAGGGCAGGTCCATGAGACGTTTGTGCAAGGAAAGGAGGAAGCCGTCGAGGGGCTGGGAGAGGTGGTATTTCGGACGGACATTGGGTAGAAGGACGTCGATCTGGTGAAGTGTGGGGATGGATGAGAGTGATGGAGAACAAGAGGGATACGCACCTGAAGCTTGAAGGACGTTGATCGATAGAGCTCTGTGGCGTCCTTGATATTTCTGAGTTCTTCACCTGTGGGAGGTTTGAGAAGATGCGTGCCAGGATGGTCGCCAGAGCCTGGAGGAGGGCTGTCCTGAGGATCTTCCGTTCCGGAATCATCTTCGTCGCGAACACTGCCGGGTGCCTGGGATATATGAGCGTCGGAGAGGGGCTCTGATTCATCGGAAAGCTCCTCGTCGCGACGTCGCTGCAATACGGTTGAGAGGTATGAAGGCGCGATGGAAATGGGTAGGGCAAGAAATACCTTGGGGCTGGGTGCGGAGCCGGGGGCTCGCTTCCGCTTGAGGTTAAGTGCCATGGTCTGGTCGCGCGTCCAGTATCTTCGTTGCGACTTGATCCTTGGCGGCTTAGAACAGTGAGGGGAGATGTTGCGGTAGTGCGAGGACGGCGGGCGAGAGGACAGGACTGCGAGTCCGACTTCTGCAAGGACAGACGCCCATCAACTTTTCCCTCACAAGCGCCCATCCGCATCGAGATCAGATCTCGTACACCATCCCCGTGACATCACCACTTGGCCTCCTTCGACCGCGAAAGCCTTCATACTTTCAAAGTATCCTCCATGGCTGCACTTCGTATTCCTCAGAGCGCCGTACAGATGACCTGCAAGAACTTTGGGTGGCATACACCTTGTGTTTAAAGTGACCGTCAGGTATGAGCACTTCTGTTCGATAACTTGTCAAAGCGGTAAGTACCTGCAACAGCCAGTTCATCGACCAGACACACTTATGCTCGGTCTCTAACGAGCAGAAAACGTTCCCTTCGTCCTGTCTCTCACTCGTTTCGTCCCTCACAACATCGTCGTACCTCCGCGATATGGTAGTCATTGAGTTACGCCTCCGAGATCTGCCAGCCTTGAGTGCAAAAACCCTTCATCACACGACGATTTGAGGGGAATGAACACCTACCAGGTTGTCGACGACTGGCTTCCGTTTGACTCGTACTACCATGGATGTCTATAGAGATGAAAGTCGCACATCCGGCAACGTTCCCCGGCTTCGCATCCAACCCAAGCTGACAACTAGTACGGATAGAATTTTGTCTCACGACCGAACTGGTCCACCATCGCACCACAAACCCACTGCGCTTCGTGCCGCCTTACCCTGGTTCATGTAGTGTCGGTCACCTTCCTCGGTCGGGGTTAAAGACTTGTGACAAACATGTGTATATAATAAGCCCAACGTCTTCCACGCTCGAAAGCACGGCATATTCTGACTACCGCCTCACTCCCACAGCATGATGTGACTTCATGTAATCGGGCCTTTTGTCCGTCGAGGCCGCAGTATTCTCGCAGCCTGCTTGTGTGGCGCATGACTACTGGTTTGTGTACATTGCGTCTCGAGCCACCAGTACTTGCAGGAGGTAGATGGGGGAAATGCAGCTCTCCCTTGGCATTCAGAGGTGAGCAGGCTTGCAGGCTTTATGATAGTGCTTGAAGTAGCAACCATCTAGCGACCATTAGCAGAACGTGCTACCGCGGTCGACTCGACGGCTGAAGACGCCAGGGTCAGCACAAGGTAATCCCGGAACCGGTCTGACCACCGCCAAGTCCCTCCAACCATTGAGCCCGAGAACCCCAGGTACGTGTCCCATATAGTACTCACGTCCAGTAGTCGTAGACTACGGATATGACATCGTGATTGATGGTACCTGATGAATAGCGTACAATCCAGGGGGCATCGAGCGTCCGATGTGAGCGTGAGGCGATGATCCGCTAACAAGCTCTGGAACCCACGCACGTCCCCTTCAGTCCTCAATAACGATGACTTCACCCGGGTCTGTTCGTGGCGCACCAGATGTCGACGAATTCCCTCCCCCACGCCGTTTCGTCGCCGGTCTCTGCATCACCTCATCCTCGGTCGACAGGTCGATATCGACCGCTCCGGTAGCCGCAGACGTCCCTCTCTTCCGCTTCGACCCAGCCACAACCACAGCCACAGGTCCCGCTGCTCGAGCTCTCGTCGCTCTTGACCGTGTTACTGGCGCATCCTCGTCCGAGTCCTCGATAGTGATCGTCTCCGCCTCGACAGGTGTGGCCGTCCTTGACGCTGTGGTCGAACGACCGACCGCGCCCGTCGAAGCCGCGCTGAATGGAGAAATGGGCGCAGGGCTGGCCGAGGCCTTGCCCTTGCCTTTGTCTTTTGTAGGTTGTGGACGGGCGTAGAGCTCTGTCCAGCGTCTCGCTTCCCGATCATGCTGAGCTCGGTTGCGGATATACTCAGTGGCTATGGAGGGAACTGGGGGAGTAGCATGAGGTCAACTGCAGTACAAGTAGATATGCGTTCCGACGAGTACCTAGAGGATCCTCTGTACAAGGTAGAGGAATGGTCATGAGCCATTCAGCACTCGCGCCGAAGGAAGTATATACGTACTTGGATTTGGGTCGGTAAGTAGGGACGACAACGATAGGACGACTTTGAAGAGAGACAGAGCCGGTGACCAGTTGTGCTTCAGGATATCGATGCAAATGCTCCCGCGCTCGTTTATATTCATATGGTAAATGCTTGATACACAGACAGTCAGAATACAGCGAGGTGGAAAGCGTCGTACATCACCGACTCACCGAGTACGAAAGGTCATCCTAGGAGCGGAGAATCTGAAGGAAACGATGTGGTGTGCACACAATGAACTTACGAGTGGAACCACGGACTTACGGGTAATCGTGACCGAGTACGATTTCTACGTGAAAGACGCCGCCTTCGTAGACGCTACCCTCTGGGCCTGGTATGACGGCCATCCAATGGAAAAGGTCGTCATCGGACGGGGCGAGCTTGATGGCACCGAGGTCCTCCTTCTTGAGGTCGGCGATCTCGCGGTGTATGCGTTTGAGAGTGGTCTGTGGCAAGGAGTCAGACGGGACCAGGAGACGAGAGGGAGAGAGAGACATACAGCGGTCGCGTGTGAGGGAGGCATGGGAGTGCGAGGACGTACGAGGAGGTGAGTAGAGAGGAGAGAGTACTTGGCCTGAAGCTGAACGCAAGGCGTTGTTCCAAGATCTACTGAGACATCCGAGCGACGCGGAGTTTACAGAGACGCCCGAATGGGTTATGTCAGCCTCTGAGCGCCTCAGTGGGCGTCTGCCGGGTGTGCAAGCGGCCGCCCGAGCCGTTGTCTGGCTGAGTCTGGGGATGAGTCGCGCACGTTTCTCTTTCGCACCACCATGCTCTCCGTCGTCTGAGTCCGCCTCTCACCTCGCCAGCATTCAGCGTACCTCAGGAATCCTGTATCCCTCTTTGTCTTGCAACTCCCATTCACCCCACGATGATCACTCGAATATCGGCTTAAACATCTTTGTCCCCCCTTCGTTATATCTCTCCGAAGCAACCATCAAGTAACACTACTGCAACAAACGCGTATCCAGCTTCCAATGTTCGGTGAGCACGAGTCAGAAAGCCCCCGTGTTTCCTCCCCCTGGGACCCCTTCCTCCCAACTCCTCCCTCTCGCGGCGTTTCCCCCCAGGTCAACGCCGCACTCCACAATGGCATCCCAAAGCTAGTTCCCGAGGTAGAGGAGGTGAGCGTCATATCCATCTCTCCGTAGTTCGTAGTCTCTCATCACTCACACAGGGCAACGTCGAGTACAAGCTCAAGCTCACCCACATCTCGAACGCCCGCTTCGCCCGTCTCGTCACTCAGCTCAAATGGCGTCTCCTTGAGGGCGGCGGTCAGGCCTACTACGAGCTCGGTGTCGCCGACTCGGGCGCCCTCATCGGCCTCTCCCGCGCAGACCTCGAAGAATCTCTGGAGACACTCGAGATGATGGCCGGCGAAATCGGCGCGTCCGTCATCGTCGTCAAAGAGATCGAAGTCCCTCCCACCATAGCCGCCCTCGCCGATAAAGACAGCGGATACACCGACCCCGACACCGGCGAGTGGACTCGCAAGATGCGCCGACGTGCTCCCGCCGGCGGTGGCCCTGCCTTCTCGGACGGAGGGGACGGCTCGACATCGGCCACCACCACCGAGGCTGAGACGGACTTTTCCTTCGCCGACTTTGCGGATCAGGACGACGTGTCCACGTCGTGTCCGACATCATATCGCGGTCCTGACATAGCCGCATTCTCCGCGACGATCACGTCCATTGCGCACCGCCCTGTCCGCACAAACCCTTCGCGTCCGACCGCTCAGTCCTCCCCCTTCATAGCGCCCATAGACGACGACCTGGCTCTGTTCTCTATGGAGCCGGAGCCCGCATTCCCGGATGAGACGGATACACCCGCATCGGGCGTCATAGCCGATGACGAGCTAGATCTCGCCTTCGGCCTTGAAGCCGGCCTTGGCCCTCGCCGTGCGTCCTTCGCCGGCCTTGAGATCGCAGCGGTCTACAAGCCGCGTCCCGTCCGACATCGGGTGCGCCCTGGGGCGTCGGCTCCCCTTGGACCGACGCCTGGGAGGCATGGCAAGCGAAGCAACAAGAACAAGGAGAGGAAGGCCCACCCATGGCAACAGAGAGGCATCGCGGCCTCTGGGCAGGACGGGCTCAGCAAGGAGGAGAAATCGCTGCAAAGACGGCTCGCGCGCGACAAGAAGCGTGAGGAGAAGCGAAACGCGCTCATCGCTCTAGCTCAGGCGGAGACGCGAGACGAGGGTGAACCTGTTACCAGCGGGTCGCACGCCCCCGCCACGGTGCTTGCTGGCTCTCAGGATGAGGATGTCGGCAGCAAGGCGTCAGCGCTGTTGGTGGACGTAGACGAGGAGGCCAACACGCTCGCCAGCGGCGTCGACGGTCTCCACGCCGCAGTGGACAGCACTGGCGTCGCTGAAGATGATTCCCCCGAGACGTCTCCTGTGCTGCAGGCCCGGCAGCTGGCGGAGATCGTCGTAGCGACTGCAGAAGTCGGCCGGGAGCCGCGGTTAATCGTGGAGGCGCTTGTAGTCCGCAAGATGTCGATCGAAGAGGCGACGCTGGACTTTGGAAGGTTAGCAATTCTATGACTGCGGATCTGGTCGTGTTTGTGCGATTCGCTCGTGCGATGGTACGGGTTATGGATCGCGACGGACAGCTAATAGAAGATCGTACTGGATTAGTGTGTGTATATAGTTCAGTGTGCCTGGAAATGAGGATGCAAACGTATATTCATGGAGCGATATGTATGTGGATGCTCGCGGGCGTGGAAGGGGACATGCGGGGGAGGAGAGAAGAGATGCTGCGGAAGGCGATAGGAAGGGAGTGCCTGGCGTTCTGTTGGACTGGTCCCGGCGAGCTGACTGGGAGACTGCGAGCTGTCCCACCCTGCGCCGTTGCTTTCTCACATCCTCGGCCTTCGTCTACCGCCGCTGCCAACGGTGACAATTCCGAGCGCCTCGATGGCACTATGCCGTGTTGTCCCAGTTTCTACAAGCGATGATATCCTCAGCGGTCACTCGGAGGCCCGCGGGGAGAGCGGTCAAGGACAGAGAGCAGTGATGCAGTATGCTACCGACAAGCTCGCGACGCTTGAGAAATATAAGACAGATCGAGCGCACGAGAAGGCAGTCCGGGCGAGGGAGGACAGTATCCGGCCGTTGTCTTATCTCACACGATTGTTGTCGCCGGGAGGAGGCCCCTGAGCGAGTAAGCCCAGCCCAGCCCAGCAGTCGCAGCTGAGTGCCGCCGGTGCCAGGGCGTGCGCTGTTTCGCTCCCTTCCCCCTTCCTCCTCCTCCTCCTCCCCCTGCCCTCCCCGGTCTCCCTCCCCTCGCGTCTCCCGCGCTACCCGCGCGATCTGTCCTATTGCCTCCGACTCGACTCTCCTCGGCATTGCGAACAGGCCCCGGTAAGCGTGCTGACCTCGTCAGCGCACCTTCCCTCAGCTGCCTACTACAGCCGCCGCCGACTCCCTGTCCTTTACGCTTTCTTCGCCTTTGCTATCTCGTGCCTGCGTCCGTCTTGCTGCCCTATCTGCTCCTGCTCATATCCTCGCGCCACCCATCCTTGTCTACGACACGTTCGCCTTGCGACGCCCCAGGACATCGCGCACCGAACGCGCACTCCCCCATGAAATGTCCGCAGAGGTGGAGGAGGACCATCGCCCCTCGCCCTCTTCGATAGCCTCCTTCTCATCTTTTGAGGGCGAGAAATCCATCCGTGCGTTCTCTCTTCCTTCTGTCTCCTTGCTTCCATATATCCCTGCTTGCGCGTCCCACCTCCCGAACCTCTGCTCACCTTCGTGCAGGACCACGCCAGTTTGACGACTCCGAATCGTTGTCTTCCCGCCATACAGAGGATCCTCCCGACTTCTTCGATCCCAACTATGCCAATGATATCACCTGGCTCGGTACGCTTCCCCGCCGTTCTCTCCCCGAGCCGACACTGACCTATCCCACCCTCCGCTTCCCAACCTCGACGCCCCTTACGCAGAAGACGACTCTCCCTATCCAGAGGTCCGTTCCGCCGTCGCAAACTACGATGACCAGTCCATGCCAATCAACACCCTGCGTGCTTGGGTGCTCGGCATTCTCTGGGCCATCATCATCCCTGGCGTCAATGAGTTCTACTATTTCCGCTATCCGTCTATTATGGTCACCGGGGTACGTCCTCCTTTTCGACCCGCTCGCGCGTGCAACGCGACCTGCCTCTTGCGTGCACGCCCATGTGGCCTACAAGCATCCCTCCAACCGCGCTGACCGCGCTCCCCAGATTGTTGCGCAGCTCATCAGCTTCCCACTCGGAAGAGCCTGGGCGCGATGGATCCCGCAGTGGAAAGTGTTCGGAATGGCCCTGAACCCCGGCATGTTCACCATCAAAGAACACGTAAGGAACCCGCCATCACCTCTGTACTGTGCTTGACAATGATGACCGACTGGATCGGACCCGCAGGTGCTGATCACCATCATGGCCGGAGTCGGCGCTCAGTCCGCGTACGCGGTAGGTGTCCTTATGTGCTATCGTCGAGGTGCCTCATTGACCATGGGTCGCCGTAGACGGAGATCATCGCTGTCCAACGGGTCTGGTACAAGCAGAATTTCAACTTCGGATGTAGGTCGCATGCGTCTCCCGTTGATCCGGCCGAGCACCCATTAACCGCTGTTAAGATCAATGGATGCTCGTAATGTCGACACAGGTAAGCAACTTCCTCAAGGTCGCCCTGCAAGCACTGACTACATGTCGCCCAGCTCATTGGCTTCTCGGTCGGAGGTCTGGCGCGTAGATTGGTACGGATTTGAGTTGCCTTTCGAAGCACATTCACCAAACTGGCTAATCACTCGGCTGCCTGTCATCGCGCAACCAGCTCGTTGCACCTGCGTCTATGAGTAGGTCCTCGTCTGCTTATCATCACGCTGTCGAGGACTCACCTGTCCCACTCCAGTATGGCCGAACACTTTGGTGCTCTGCGCGTTGTTCAACACTTTGCATTCCCAGAGCTATGCAGGGATAGGTCGTCATGATGGACTCAGTCGGGAACGATTCTTTGCATACGCTTTCGTCTCCGCTGCCGTCTGGTGTGCGTATCGATTTGACCACGCTCGGTCTTCGTTCTCGTACTGATACGATCCGCTATTGGCGTCCTTGATTTGCTAGATATTGTCCCGGGATATCTATTCCAGGCATTGAGGTACGGCATATCGCCATAGGCCATTCGACTGACAGCCACACATCCTGATCCTTCTCGAACCTAGCGTTTTCACATGGGTAAGCACTTGAAACGTCGCAACCCGTTTCGTGGTGTCCTAATCGGCTCCTCTTTTAGGCGTGTTGGATAGCCCCTCATAACGCAGTAGGTCTATGTCTATTGGCTGCGTTTGGCCCTCGTTGAAACCTTCTCACCGCACAACAGAAAGTCAATGCGCTTTTTGGGTACGGTCCATCCTGTCATCTCGAAGATTCCACAGCCCAGTCTAACGATGTGACAGCTATCACAGCGGCATGGGCTTCTCGCTTTTGTCCTTCGACTGGAATCAAATCGCATTCATCGGCAGTCCGCTCGCGACACCTTGTGCGTCCATTAGTGGCCATGTCCGCTACCGATAGATCCCGCTGCTGACGATGACACAGGGTGGGCGGAAGCGAACGTGATCGTTGGCTTTCTGGTGTTCTATTGTGCGTCATATTGCCATCATTTGTGTGGAGTCCACCCGTTTGACTGTGCTGCTCGTCTCTAGGGTTCCTTGCACCGCTTGTCTACGTGCGTCTAGTGGTTCCCTTTGCGTCGTTGTTCCAGTTCATGACGATGGCCTGCTGTTCTCAGTTCACGAACGTCTGGTGCTCTCAGTACATGCCGTGAGTCCTAGATCTGACACGCGTCCAACTACGTCCTAACGTTGCACAGTATCTCCGCTCTAGGACCATACGACAACACGGGCAAGCGTAGAATCCAGATCCAGATAGTGCCTATGTATACTGATACCTTATCGTACGCAGGCCGGCCATACAACCTGACTCGCATACTCAACGCGGATTCAACATTCGACCTCCAAGCCTACAAGGACTACAGCCCCCTGTTCCTTTCCGCGACATTCGCGATATCATACGGGCTCGCCTTTGCGTCAATCACCGCTACCATCGTGCACGCCATCCTGTACTTCCGCAAGCCCATCGCGGTCCACTTGCACCGTTCGCTCGCCGAGCAGCCGGATATTCATGCACGCCTCATGTCCAAGTATCCCCCTGTCCCACAATGGTGGTAAGTGCGGCACAGTCTCACGAATTGTCGCATATTGAGGGATTCTGGTAGGTATGCCGGGATCTTGGTGGTGACATTCACGTTCTCGTGCCTCTGCATCAAGTTGTACCCAACGCAAATGACCATTTGGGCCCTGTTTGTGGCACTGTGCATCGCGCTTGTAAGTTGGAGACCTGATATGGTCGAGAGGTTGCTCACGGAACTCATAGGTATACTTGATTCCAGTTGGTATGTCGCTCCGAGAAATCGAAGGTATGTCGGGCTCATTCCCATGAATAGGCATGATCCAGGCCATTACCAATCGACAAGTTGGACTGAAGTAAGTCACGTCGGTCTGCACCAATACCGTCTTCTCTGATCTTGCTTCAGTGTCATCACCGAACTTGTCGTGGGATACATGCTTCCTGGCCGCCCGGTGGCGATGATGATGTTCAAGGTATGGCGACCATGTCAATCATATAGTCGAACGTATTACCAACCGTTTCCACTTGCCAGACTTGGGGATACATCACAATGTCGCAAGGTAGGAAGCTCGCCTGCCAAGTGAGCTGGGTGCATGCATATTCACGTTCTCCTTGCAGCGATGATTTTCACGTCTGATTTCAAGCTTGGGCATTACATGAAGATACCACCGAGGCCGATGTTCTGGTGCCAGGTATGTCGGCTGGTGCTTCCTGTATGGAATCGCTGTACTGAGCACTGTGACAAGGTTGTGGCCACTGTGGTTGCTGGCACCGTGCAGTTAGGTGTCGAGAACTGGATGTTCTCCAATATTCCGTGAGCATAGATGGCACTTCGATTGCCAAACTGGTTGGGGCTGATAGGACGGATAGCTTGATTTGCACGCCAGCGCAAAAGGACATGTCTGGATTCACCTGTCCAAACACAGAGGTGAGAATCGATACTCGCCGTGAGTAGGAGGGCACCTGATGAAAGTTCTTTCAGGTGTTTGCGACGGCGTCGGTAGTCGTGGGTGCAGCATATTGTTGATGGTGACTTGATTTCTGATGCTTTGCTAGTTTGGTGTTATCGGTCCTACATTACAGTTCTCGAAAGGCCAATTGTACTAGTGAGTAGTCAAGCACTCCACATTGAATTCCTTGCTGACGCGCCTTGCCTAGCCGTATGTACTCGATCAATCTTGTCAACACACCTTGTTAACCTTCCGGACAGCGCTACTATTCTTCTTCATCATCGGCGCCGTCTGCCCGCTGGCTGTTTGGTTGTTGACGAAACGATATCCCAACTCATGGCTCAATTACGTCAAGTGAGTACCTTTGGATATCCTATGCAGCTTTATTGCTGATGTTTTCCTCAAGCTTTCCGTAAGTTACCTGAACCCCTCTGCTCGATACCCGATTAACATGCCCGTCAAGTCTCATGTTCACTGGGGTCGGACTCATACCTCCTGCGAGCGCTGTGAATTATGTTCCTTGGGCTATGATCGGCTTCCTTTCGCAATATGTCATCCGCAGGAGATATTTTCCGTTCTGGGCAAAATATAATTGTAAGTCATCTCGCTGGACACCGAACGCCGTTTTATTGACTTGGGTCTAGATGTACTTTCCGCGGCGCTAGATGCAGGAACTGCGATATCAACCCTCCTCGTGTACTTTATGTGAGTCCTTTCGATCGCACCCTTCCAACGTACCAAGTAACCTCTTACTCCAGCCTTCAATATCCGAGGAACGGTGCGATTGGCCGTGACACCATTCAGCAGTGGTGGGGTAACACTGTTTTCAAGAACACTGCGGACTGGCATTCCGCGCCGTTACGGGTCGTGCCGCCTGGGGATCGCTTTGGGTACGTGTGGCATTGCCTATTCTTTGGTGAAATCTGCTCAGCAGCTCCGCACTCTGTATAGGCCGGACACTTGGTAGACTCACTGTTGTATCGTTAGATGTATTTTTGCCCCCATCTGCTATCGCACTGCTCGAAAATCTCAGGGAACGTCGTCCCCCATCAGGCCCCAGCCAGACACGGCACACCGTTGCTCCAAAAACAGACGCATCTCCCCTATTTCAGATGCGCAGATCCGGAGTCCCGAAAAAGAATTCCGCTGTCAAGGGGGGATAGAACTCCTGTTAAAGTTCTGTTGAGCGCAGATACCTAGTCTTCGCCAAATTGGCGTCGTGTCTATCCCAACTTCGAATACCTCCAAGATACTCTGCTTCTTGAGCACTACCGCTGCAAAGACGAGGGCAACCATCCCAACTCTACAGAATGCTGTCTCAGAGCGACGTCTGGAAACTACAGATCGTTGGACTAATCTTCCACCATATCTTCGCAGACACAGTGTTCCACTGTTATTTCACCACTCGGGTCGTACATGGCATGGAACAATAATACTCCATGCCCTACGCCGACTGGGCTAAACGTGTTGTTTTCATCGTCGGTGCGTGCTTGAACTTTTGCAGCCTCCCTGATGGCATTGACCATTACACAGGGAATGGCTTGCGCGCCGACCTGCTGTTTATGAAGAATGGGTTTGTCGACATCGCGGGCAGTCCAGACATAGTAGCCCCGTACTTGCGCTCCATCGTGGAGACTAGAGGCGCATGGGGAATCTCGCATACTCGTGTACCCTCCGAGACTCGACCAGGGCATGTCGCCTTCATCAGTATGTATCGGAGCTCATCTGCTGTGAGATCAGACTTGATCAAACTAACAGGCGGCATGAACGAGGATGTATCTGAGGTTACAAAGGTACGGAATCTCCCGTTGATCTTCTGTGGAAAACTATGTGAGCTCTGTTCGCAAATCAGGGATGGCGCCAAGTAGGAGTGAGCCCTTCGTCGTCGTGACACACACCCTCCATGCTTACTTATTTTCCTCCCAGATTGATTTCGATTCCGTCTTCAACCAGTCGAGCACAACGTTCGCTATTGGCTCACCGACTGTACTTGCATCATTCGTACCCGGTGCTCCTCCAGACAAGATTCAGATATGGAAGTTTGACCCCGAACTCGAAGACTACACCAAGGGTAGTCCCCGAAGTAGTCTCATTCCAAGGGGGAAATGTCTGACTTACGACACAGACGCAACACAAAGGGACAAAAGGGTCTATCAAACTCTTGAAGCCATTCTTCGCAATTCCACTGCACACGAAGATTTAGACAGGCGCGTTCGTGCTGATAAAACTGTCCTCTTCCTACACCTTCCGGGCCTGGACATCACAGGACACTCTGACCGCCCATTTTCAAAGGTGCAGCAAGTTGTTTGCTGGTCGTCTACTGTGTACTGACGCACTTCGGGAAAAGGAATACATGATGAACATCCAGACTGTCGACGACATTGTCGAGAAAACGGAGAATCTATTTCGCCAGTTTTATGGAGACGACGACACCGCGTTCGTTTCAACGGCGGATCATGGTATGACGCCCATAGGAAACCACGGGGATGGACGTCAGTCTTGCTCATTGCTCCACCGTCATTATGACCCTCATTCCAGATGTTGAGGAAAGATCCTGACAGTACATGCACTCCCCTGATCGTGTGGGGAAAGGGCGTCCGTGGATCTCTCCCTGATAGCACACCGTCGTCACACGATGCCTACTCAAAACAATTGGGACTGTCGCATCTGCTGCGTCGTGACGTGGAGCAGGCAGACATTGCCCTTCTCTTGTCTGCACTCATTGGGACGAAGTGGCCGACCAACGCGATGGGCATGCTACCAGACGTCGACCCGACGAAACCAGGCTATCTCCTTCCTAACCAGGGCAATAGATATATGGCCCAGGCGGCCCTTGTCAATGCGCAGGTACGCATGCTGAAGTCTCGCTTCACTATATTTTGACTAACACCGAGCACCGCAGGTCACTACAGGGTACAGCATGGTGTGTAGGCTTGGAACATAAAATGCTATGCATCGCTTCTCGTTTCCGTGCTTACCTGTGGCCTGCAGTCGAGAAGAGTCAGCGCTCACGCTTCTATAGACCATACTTGTATTGAGAATGGTTAGAGCACCGTCGAAGAACTAGGACAGACGCAATTATCGGCTATAGAAACCCTCATTGATGTGGGCGACCACTACCAGGCCCGGCTGCACGCGATGGTGCTCATCTCAGCCGTCCAATAAGGCTTCCACTACCTACAGACGTGAGAGAACCTGCACTCCCTCGAGCATGGTGCCCAGGCTGACGAAAACAGGTATGATGCTCCGGTTATTCTCGGCATCGTCGTATCCGCATACATCGGTTGGATAGCTCTCTGCGCTGCCACAGTTCTCCTTCCAGCGTCGAAGCCTTCCGATGCACATGGAAGGGTCTGGCGTCCGTACTTTGTGTCAACAACTGTCCTTGCAGCACTTTGGTCATACTTCGCCTCACAGGATTCACCGCTGGAGTACTATGCCTACGCCATCTTCCTATGCTACTTCTGGGCCAAGGCGTGGCCCTGGTGCAGCAGTCGGCTGTGGCAGCTCAGCGAGTATCCATATGACAAATTTATGGTTATAGGCACGATTGCAGCGACGCAAACCATGGTGGTACGTTACATATACTTCATCCAAGCATCCCCTGACCGTTCACCGCAGTTCGCGTACACATACCGTTTTGTGTTGTGCTTATGGCTTCTCGGTATTGGTATCGCATGACCTCTGTTCTCATGACCGAATGAGCTTCGACATCAGCGCCTGCTGTTCGGCTGGATAGCATCCTACCTGACAGTCTCCACTTTCCTCTATTGAGCGTCCATCAGCAGGAAGACCTCGCCAAGATGTAAGCAGCCTCGCTGTTGATGTTTTCTTGACAGGCTGAGGACAGGGGGTGTAGTACATGCGGTGCTGTGGCAATGATCGTGATTGGATATATGGGCACGAGAATGTTAAAAATGCTCGGGAAGCCTGGTGTTTCAAGGCTGTAGTCATAACTTTGGTGGGCTTTCTCTTCTCCCTGTCTCGTGTCTGCATTGATTGCTTCATGCAGATCTGTGGACTCGCGTCAAGCACTGTGCTAGTATATCTCATCGTCGGTAGTCTCCGGGCCAAACGAGGAGTACCCCTGATCCTACGAACCCCTGGGTGGATCATACTTTGTTAGATGTTCAGTATCGGCAGTGCTCTCAGTCCGGCTGATGATATCTTATTCTAGTGTCCAACGGGATGCTTCCATTCATCGTGCGGGTCGGCAGAAGCAACCCAAGTGCACGCCTTCTGAGCATCTTCCTCGGGGTTGGCATGTGGTTCTTACGGGTCGCCGTATCCGTGGAAGGAGTGTTTTATGTTGCCTTCGCTTTGATGCTATACCTCTGGGTTAAGGTAGAGTACGTATGGCACCGAGACCACCCGTTGGGGTCGGAATCGAAGGTGAAGGATGAAGAAGGATGCGTCACGTACCAGCTCAAGGGAGAGGACTTGGGTATTGCGCTATTCTTTCTCCTTTTTATGCAAATTGCGTTTTTTGGTCCCGGAAAGTGAGTGTCACCGCTTCTTGTTTTTGTCCTGAAACTGACCGATAATCATGCAGTATATCCTCCATTGCGTAAGATGATGCACGCAGTCGATCTCCGCACTGATCAACTTAGAATTGGCTACAGCTCTTTCTACCTAGACCTAGTTTATCGCCTCATTTCCAGGTACAATCCATACCTGTTGATCGTACTACTGGTGAGTGATGATATGTGCCTTACGGAGCTGCAATTCAAACAGGTTGCAGATGCTCAAGATGTTCGCACCCTTCCTCATACTGGCTCTGACATTCTCCGTCCTACACGCACGTCTCAGTCTACCACCCTTCAACCTCTTCGTCATTGTACTTGCGCTCTCTGACGGTAAGCTGCTATAGCGCCACAGGGCTCATGAGGAAGCGTCTCACGGATCAAACACAGTCATGACCCTGACATTCTTCCTCAAAGTTAGACACGTTGGGTCTTGGTTTGACATATCACAGTCCTTCTATGATTTCTGCACAAGCTCACTCTTTGTCCTCTGGTCCATGGTGGCGTGCATTGTCGCCGAGTTGCTCATGCGTCGTCCATGCCAATACTCGAACGCTGAGCGACTTAGGGACCGATCATCGGAGCAGCATGGGAAAGAATGAAGGTTGGGTGTGGCATAGGCATTAGAGTGGTATAGTAATATAATATTGAAAGTGGTACGCCGCACACTTGTTGTGCTTCAATGTCCGCTCCCGGGGAAAGGTATGAACACAGTGAGTGGTCCTGCTGCTCCATGAGTCGTCTCGTGAATCGCGCTGCGGTCCTCCCCACGCATCATGTCAAGCTCATTCACACAATCGACGCCCGTGTCCACGAAGACCATTGCACCTTCTTCCAGGTAGAAATCATGCTGCTGACACTGCATCAGAAACAGTGCTGAACGGGGCAGAGGAGAAGGATGATCCGAGACAGAGGAGCGCTGGACAGACACTGTGAGACCGACCGCACTGAATTTCTTGCTGGGAATATGGACGGCGATTGCGGCGACGTTCTCGACGAACTTGAGCAGCTGGGAGTTGGCGGTGCCCAGGTCGCCCAACAGGAAGATTTTGATGTCCCCATCAACAGGCACGCCATGACCTTCTTATTTCTATCCCGATTCTGCGCATGCACGCACAATCAGTTTCCGGTTCGGTGTCTCGGCCCTAGGGTAGATGAATGTGTAGAAGGCACCTGCACTGTCGAAGATGCTGGGCGCGGTGCTCTTCTTGAACCGCTTGTACTAGGTCACATTGTGCGCCGTCTCAATGAATTCTTCCTCTTGGGTAGACTGCGGGCTAGAGGACTTTGCGGCCCCCGCGACCACAGCGGCTAGAGGGGACATTTAGAAGTGTACTATTCGGTGGTAGGACTCTTCCAAAGGGCGGTTGGTGACAATTGCGATTACCACCGCAATACCGAGAAGCAACATGGTGAAAGGTCTTGTGTCATGCATACTTTCTTCAAGCCCCCAGTCGTTGTGTGACAGCCGATATATACCGCGAAAGATTACGAAGGTCCTGCGATGACCGAAACCCAATTCCTTGAGGCCGTCGCAATCTGACTGCGAGCAATATTCCGACCATGGAGACGTCATGTGGATCCCCGGTGCGAGCATTCCATGAGCAAATATGGTACGGAGCGCAGATAGACGATCATACACTCACAAACGATCCGGGGAGTATACAGATTCCGTCATGTTGTCCGTGAAGAAAGTAGGGGCTGACATTTGTCCAATAGTCATCGATTGCCTCGTCTGCCGTGACGAGGTCAAGTGGCGAGTAGAATGCAAGAAATTATAACGCCACGAGACGAACGAGGCCGTGTTCTCGTCTCCGCCCCAGTTCGTGAGCCCCGAGTGCGAGGCCACACCGAGTTCGCACTCCACAGCCCCATATCTCTTCAGCGACCCCACGGAGATAACGAGTCCGGACTCGTTCGGCGATGACTCTCTCAAGCACTTGTTCGTTTGCCCTGGATCGATAGTGCCAGGACATGACTCTACTAACGTTCTAACTCCACAGCGACATGTCAGCCGTGGACGAGTTGGTCGAATTCTATGCGGATACAAGCGACATGGTCAAGCGGCAAAGCGCGCGTGGAGAACTAGCAGAAGAGGAGACTGGTACTGACTTGGGTCCCCAGCCGGACATCGACGGTCGAGACCACGTCGCCGTCCCAGAGTCACCGAGAGCCCGTTACCGGAAGGCCAGCTGGAAGCTCGGGACGATCCGCATAGGGTAGCGCCCTCCCTCGTGTCGCCCGATCCAAAATATGGCAACCACATACATCCCACGCCTGTATCTCTCATTCCGTGTTGTAGCCCTATCATTCCTTACAACGACCCTCTTTCTCACATACCTTCACTGGACCACGTTTTGCGACTCCTGGCCTGTAGGCAGTGTATTGATTCCGCATTGATTCCAACCGATGTCTCTCCACATCTCGCAAGAAAGACATTCGTATGTTGTCCGAATGCTCCGCGTTCATTGCAGTGCCAAGGCCACTCGTCCGACAGCTCGTAATGGGACAACATCACGGGTATTATACTCTCACTAGGATACCCATATAGAGGACCTGGCTCACCGCGACGAGGAACAGGAAGGTGATTCGTCTTGAGCGTTGAGAAGGGTTCACGGCTGCCGCCGTTGCGGATGCGTCTGGCAATACCATCGACCGGAGGGAGCGAAGCTGTGGGAGACGTCGAACCAATCAGCTCATCTGAACGCGCTGGGATAGCAGTGGGACGACTTGGGACTCACCAGGAAGAACGCGGTGGAAAGGAATGTGTAAATGAAGACGAAGAGGTAGAGGGTGCGCCCAAAGCCAAGTAGGTCAGCTATCAGCGTAACGATGACACTGCGTGAATGGCCTCAAGTTAGCTTGATTTCAGGTGCAGGTGCAGGTGGCACGTACCCGACGAACTTATAGCCCCCATAGGCAAGGAGGTCAAGCACTTGACTTGAGAGGCCGCCCTAGAACGGACTAAGCAACATGACCACAAAAGTGAGCCATTGGGTGCGGCTCACAGGTATGTTGAGGAGATAGCATCCGCCTTTGACTAATACAAGGTCGAGTAGGACAACGGCAAGCGCTTTTGAGGCAGTGACTCCGAAAATCTCGGGGTGGAAGCGGGCGTTTAAGCCCGAATGGAGGGCGGCGAGAAGAATGTACGTCACAAGAGCCATTACTAGGACGAGACGGTGAATCGGAATGGTCAGTACATGGTAGGTGCAGAAGGACTCACAAGGGATGTAGAGATCAGGGGAGTTGATATCTTCTCGGGGTGGAGACCATTCTGACTGACCGTTTTCGAGGCGTAGGACTCGGCGTGACCAAGGCTTGTGTCTCCACGGGAAGAGGAGGAGGCGAATCTTATGGATAACGTAAGAGTTTGAGACGTTAAAATGGTGCTTGAGCATGGATATGGGAATGAAACCTCCGAGCTACAAGAGCATCAGTGGAAGGTGGAAATGGGAGACGAAAGGGGACAGACGTTCTTCTGAACATATTCCTGACCTGCGGCCACGGCACTTTGACCAAGCTGCATGCCGAAGGCGGCAGTTGCATTGTCGAGACCCCAAGCGGAGAAGTCGACCGGAGCGCCGGGACCTATCTGACCCTGGAGGTGAGGCTGGTGAGGTGAAGGCTGGTATTGGTTGCCCGAGGCGTAAGGTGGAGAGAGATGGGCTGGGTGACCGGCATTTGGGATGGGCTGAGGGTAGCCAGGGACAGAAGGAGAGCTGGTGTAACGCTGATAACCCTGAGGAGACATCGGGGTGGAGGGGGGCTCCGGGATGTAGGCCGGGTGGGTGGGGACGGGGTGTTGGAGGGGCGGGGGACTGCTGTTGTTGGTGTAGTAGGACATCTCGGGGGCGTGCAGGGATGCGTGGGGATGGTGTCAAGGCCGAGTAGCAGACGACGGCGATGGACGTCGAGTGAGTGTCGAGAGTCGAGTGCAAGTGCGTCGAGGGCGAGTGCAAGTGCGTCGAGGGCGTTGAGCCTTGCGTCGGGTGCGCAGTGAGGGACGTGGAGGTCACGTGTCGCCGCGGCATAGACGCGCTGCGCTGGAACATATTTCCAGCGCGAGTCGGGTGTTCTGCTCTTGCTTCAGTGCCACGACACAAGCCTCGTCTCTCTCTCCCAGACGGCCGTGTCGACGCATCATGTCGTCCTACTCGGTCAAAGTCACCGACACCCCCGCCATCAAGAACGCCCCCCTCATCGGTCTCGCAGAGGGCAATGGCTACTTCTCCAACGCCCAGCTCGCCGCCCTAGTCCTCGGCGTTCCATGGCTTGTCAAGCGGACTCTCCCCGTTCTTTGCTATGGGGGCTTCAAGACCTACGTTTTCCTCGTCCTCTTACTCGGTATCCCAATCACTGCCGCCTATTGGACTGTCATGAGTACCTATGGTCCCCGCATCAATCAAAAGGTTCAACTCCCAGGGCGTAACATTGAGGAGTACATCACCATCAAGGATCCCGAGCTTAAGGCAAAGTACTTTGGCAAGGAGAAGATTCCCATGCAGGTCTTCCACGACGCGTTCTTCGACGACAAGGTTGAGTTCAACGGTCAGTCCCCCATTCGCCTCTCCTCTTTCTCTGCAGATGGATACTCATCCATCGCATCCCTTCTCTTTTCAGGTGATGTTCTGGATATCCTCGAGGCTCGCCACGACTGGGCCAAGATGGTCTTCACTCCTGAGCTCTTCAAATACGTCCTTACTCAGATGCTTCCCGAGGTCATCCTGCACACCAAGTCTCAGGATGAGGAGCAGGTTCGCGACCACTACGACCGTACGTCACGCGTTTTTACGCGTCATCTTGCGTCTCTTACTTTTCCTTGCAGGAGGTGATGACTTCTACGAATGGTTTGTCCCTCGCTTGGCTACTCCACCGAGAGCTGACGTTAATTGCTCAGGTTCCTGGGTCCTCGCATGATCTACACTTCTGGTGTCGTTCGTGACATTACGACCGAGGAGTCCCTCGAGCAGCTCCAGGACAACAAGCTCACTCTCGTTTGTGAAAAGGTCCGCTGCTCTACGCTTACCATTGCATCCCCTCCCACCTATGTTGCTCCCGTCGATCGTCCCTCCACGTGTGAGCGCTCGCTAACAGCAACCTTCTCTCGCTTCTCTCTTCCGGTCGGCAGCTGGACCTGCAACCCACCGACCGTCTTCTCGATGTCGGCTGCGGCTGGGGCACCCTTGCAGCTTTCGCGCACAAGAACTACGGCTGCGAAGTCACCGGCATCACCCTCGGCAAGAACCAGACCAAGTTCGGCAACAAGCGTATCGCAGACAACGGCGGCGACCCGTCCCGCGCGCGCATCCTCTGCCTCGACTACCGCGACATCCCCGGCGGCCGCGCTGCGTACACCAAGATTGTCTCGCTCGAGATGGCCGAGCATGTGGGTATCCGCCGCTACGGCGCGTTCCTCCGCCAGATGTACGACCTGCTGGACGACGACGGCATCTTCGTCCTCCAAGTCGCCGGCCTCCGTCCGTCCTGGCAGTACGAGGACCTCATCTGGGGCCTCTTCATGAACAAGTACATCTTCCCCGGCGCCGACGCCTCGTGCTCCCTCGGCTGGGTTGTCAAACAGGTCGAGGCTGCCGGCTTCGAGGTCAAGAACATCGACGTCCTCGGCGTGCACTACTCGGCGACCATCTGGCGCTGGTACAGGAACTGGGTCAGCAACAAAGACAGGGTGATCGAAGTCTACGGCGAGCGGTGGTACCGCATCTGGGTCTTCTTCCTTGCGTACTCAACCATTGCCTCTCGGTATGTATCTCCATTATTCTGCCGCCAGCAGACCACCCACCCAGCCGCTCTCTTTTTTCCATACAGCCAAGGCACCGCGGCCGTCTTCCAGATCACGTTGCACAAGAACCTGAACGCCTACCCGCGGATCCTCGGTGTGCCCAGCCACACCTCGATTCACGTGCACCCCACGCGTGAGATTCAGTATGTCACTCCAGCCCCTACCCTTTCACAACCCGCTGACACCCTGCCTCCAGCCCTATTGAGTGAGCAATTCAGTTGATATCTCACGGAGTTCCGAAGGGTCGAACTGGGTAATCGAGAACGAGCAAGGGCCGCCTGGTGCCACAGTGCCACAGCGCGATCAGTTACGTTACTACGTACGACCATTGACGAATCACGAAAGTTATTCTACACTTCCGGTGTTGCTCCACCTAGTGGCAATGATGTATCTATCGCGGTTAATGGGCCGGAGAAATATACTTAGAGACACCACCTATAGTGATTGCATGCATGTGTGCTGCGTTCATGAGCGCTGACGCCGCTTAGGCCGATTTTGCATGTTACCTCTTGGTGTTTCGCATGGCCGACGTTCGAGATAGCAGCTTAGGCAGCTCTTACCTTACATGAGGTGCGATGATCACAGACTGAGTTGACGCTGTCGATAGCACGGAGAATGAGGATAGGTCCGAGTATAAAGTGATACGTCGGTACAGCAGGTCTAAGTCGACAACGAAGTGACTTAACTGGACCGCTTGAATCGGTCCAACGCAGAAGGCTTGCGGGGCTGTTCTGCCCCGCTCGCAATGGCCTTGGCTTTCCGCCGCTCTTCCCTCTCCTTCTCCAGCTTCGCCCGCACCGCGACCTGCACCGCACAATCAACATGAGGTCCACCCAACCGATGATACTGGGACTTACTGCTCGAGGGTCGATGACGTTCTTGCGCTGCTTGCGCAAGAACCTCTTCAAGGTCTTGTTCTTCCCCCTCATCTTCTTCTTCTCTTTCTCTGCCTTACTTGCGCCCTTCCTCGCCTGCCCATCTCCCTCTCCGCCCTGTCCATCCGACGTGTCGTCCTCGTCACCGTCCTCAGTCTCGTCCGCCTTGCCCGACACCTTGAGCCGCTCGTGTCTCGGCAACCTAGCGTACGGGATATCATGCTGCCCGTCGACTGCTGTGCTGAGCTTCGGCGGCGGCGCCAACGACCCGATGAAGTCGGGATCGAGCACGATGGCGTCAGGCTGGATCTTGTCGAGGAGGCTCTTGACCTCGCGCTCGCGGCGCGCCTTCTTATTCTCGAACGGATCCGCTTCCGAGCTGTCGAAGTTAGGCTCGCCCACGCCAGGCACGAGTATACCCGACACTCCCTTGGAGTGGCCGATCGTCAGGATGTCTTGAAACGGGCAGAACCTCAGAGACGACAGAGGGCGGTGTGGGACGGGGTGAGTGAGGTACAATGGCGGTGCCACCACCGGTGCGAAGGGTGTCTGGATGGCGGGCTTAGTGTAAACCTAGAGGGACGTCGTGCGATGAGCGGCATTCGACAGATAGACTCGGAGACAGAGGTGCATACGTTTACGCTGCCGCCTGTGGCTACGCCCAGTGCGCCTTTCTGACTCCAGTCTATAACCGCGTTGCCCCCCCTCGCGTTCCATGTCCTGATCGCACCCTTCCAATTTCGGCAATCCCACACCTTCACCGTACCGTCTTGCCCGGCAGTAGCCATGTATCTCCCAGCACTACTGGGATCCACGGACACGCTCGCGACTGGCCCGAGATGCGCGAGAAGGCGAACGGCGGGGTGAGGAAGGTTCGGGGTCCATAGCGTCACGGTCCCATTTTGATGTCCTAGATGAATGACGGCGTTGTGGGGGTTCTGGCACATTGTGTGACACGCTCCGAGCTTGGTCCGGTGCTCTACGACGAGCTGTCCTGTCGAGGTATCTTGGTATTTGAGATACCCAGCGTTACCCTACAAGAGGTCCATACCAGTAATTAGGTGAGAAGATAGGATGTACGCACCACAGAGACCAGAAGCCAGTGGTAGGGCAAGAACTCGAGTCGCGTAGGCTCGATGTGCGACTTGAGCTTGTGGAGCTCGACGCCGTCGCGGTCGTAAATGAAGACATACTTGTTCTGGGCTACCGCAAAGTGGGAGTGGTCCTGCAGGAACCTATGTCATGGGTCACGGTACATTCAAATGGCGATGGGGAAGAGCACGAACGTGATGTCTCGACATGTTTCTCGCAGCTGCAGCTCGGCGTGCATCGTGCCTGCTTGCCAGTCAAAGGTAGCGACATGGCCGGTTTTACCAACTATAGCTATGTGTCTATACTGGGGTTTGAGTGGGAAGGGGCGAAAACAGAGAAGAGGACGGACCTTCCGTTCTTGGTGTACCGTACGCGATAGGGACCTCCGTCCAATTTCCACTCCTGCCTGCCTTGTGCAGCCTGCTGACCTGCGGCAGCAGCAATTTCATCCTGGCCAACCCTCCAAGTCTTCTCGAGGTCTCCGTCGACCTCCATGAGACCGGCCTCCTCGGTAAGGAGGAGCTCTGCGTCCTTGACTAGCCGCTTGGAACGCGCATTCTGGGCGGATTGTCGGGCGAGGTCCGTCCTGAGCTTCTTGTTGTGTATATGAGAGTACTTTTTCGCTTCTTCTGGTGGAGGAGACGAGGGTCGTAGTGAGCGGGGAAGGGCAGTGTGTTGGGAGACAGAAGCAGCAGTGGGGTCGTCGGCGGTAGTCTTCTTGGATGGGCCAGGTTTCGGACGGGCATGTTGATTGTCTGTCCTCCGCCTTTTTGACAAGGGCCTTATGGCGTCTGCCTTGGCAATGAGAGAATCCATGGGCGGAAGGTATGTACAGTAGACTGGCGAAGATAGTGCAAAGAAAGGCAGCTTCGACTTGTGTTGAGAGGTTAACGGGCGCCCACATGAATTTTGTGATCGAGATCTCGAGACTCGGAAAGACGCCCATGGACCAGCGGGCCGGCTCGGAGCTGGGTCCTTCCATCGACGCCCACCATGATTGCTCACGCTTCCTTCTGTGCCACTGATACATATCGCCCCAGCACACCCGTATCTTCAAGGAAGCTCGTGCACCTAGGCTTTGAGTGAAGCTAGAGTAATGGTCCGCCAGAGAATTCTTGTGAGCTTACCTACCCTTGAAGCAGTCGAGTCTCCCATAGGACCAAGGGGTTCCCTCGACTGGAACCCGTCCTCACTACGAAATGGAGGCTCTCCGACGAAGATAGAGACTGTGAAGATATAGAGTCCGACTGGTTGGAGCGTTCACTGCCCAAATCGACTCCGCCACGACTTGGCGGCGACAGTACAGCTCATGAGGCTCATGCCACCGTCTAGATTCCTGTTGATTTCGTTTGAAGCACTTTGCTGACTATATGCAGTTATCCGAGGATCTCAGATTAGACCTTGAACTTGTTCAGTGAGAGGCAGGACAGTACTGGCAGTAGGTTCAAGCCGAATAGTCAAGGGCACAAGCGCTCACGTGAGGCGAGTCAACAAACGCGTCGCGATCGACGCACTCGCGTCCTCTTCACCTGCAGTGGTATATATACCCCCACCTCCCGATAGTATATAAGGACACTGACACCACACGCTCTCCCCCCAGAAATCGTGTTCATCCCCAGAGTCTCTGTGAGCCTCCGCGTCCTCCATCGCTCGAACACTACCAGCGTCGACATCGCCATCATGCTCACCGCATACCTCCTCCTCGCCGGTCTCATATCCGCCACCTACTCTCAGCTTGTATACCTCGCCTGCTGGCAGGCCAGGTTTCCAGCTCATCTTCCCCTTCTGTTTATCACCTGCACATTCCTCCTCACCCTCTCCGCCGTCGTGATCGTCTTCATAGGCCCTCTCATCTTCCATCTAGCCCTCTTCGCCTCCCAATCCGCTAGATACGCCACGACACATACTATACTACACACTATTCGCCATCTGTCGGTCTTCGCCAACCTTGCGTATTGCCTAATTCGGATCACAGCACATCTCGCCATCGATCGCGCAACTACCGCTCTGGCCATCGCCCGTGTACGCGCACAAGCTACCTACGTCTCAGTCCTCGCCTCCTCCAAAGCAGCATATGTGAAGGTTCTCGCCGTCCGACATCTCACTGCCATCTCTATCAAGGACTTCCTCACCCGTCTGGTTGACCGTTCGGTTTCTCTCATCGCCGCCTCTATCCTCTTGTGTGGTCGCCGCATCATCACACTCTTCCTTACTCTTCTCTTGTCTTGCATCCGACCTCTCCGTCTCCTCTCGTCTGTCTCACTTCGTGTATCCGCCCGGGTCCTAGTCCTCGCTACACCCACCGCCCTTCATGTTGTACGTCTCACTTGGATTACTCTGGCAACGCCTCTCAGGATCATCCTCTGCCATATCACCGGCCCCATCGTCTGTCTCGCCTCTCGTATTCTATCTCTGGCGTTTGTCTACATCCTATCTACCAGTTTCCGTCTCGCGTGCCTCGTCACTCCTTCAGTTACACCTATCCTCTTGCGCTGCGCCATCTATGTGGTGGTCCCCGGACTCTTGTGCCTTCTCCGCCTCTCCTGTGTCATCCTTTCTGCCCTTTCTAAGGGGATGTTCATTGGATTACAGATGTACTTGCAGTATATGTTGCAGGTTCGTCCTCGAATCCGGATGCCCATTTGAGCAATCGCTGACATCCATCGACTACCAGCCCAATGATTCATGCGACACTTCGATTCGATTCCGCACCCTCTGCCCCTCTTCTTGCAGGCCACTCGCTCTTGCAGAGCGCTCCCAACGTATCTCCGACCAAATCGTATGCCATACCTCCCCAGAAACGCTTCGCCTCGATTGCTCCATCTCCTCTTCAACCGTCACCAGCATGACCGCGGACGAGACGCTCTGCGACATCCCAGCGCAATGCGACATCACTCTCGAGACCTTCGAACACAAGCTCTCCATCTAGATATATCGGCGATGCCTTCATCGACCCGTTCCCCCACAGTCATACTATATACCCCGACCCGGATCCGCCTTCTGCGCAACAGCACATCGACTCGGTGGTGGAGGTGAGACTAAGGATAAGTATACCTCCAGCCTGATCCCTATACCCATTGCGAGATTCCAAGTCACTTCACCTATACCCGCATATACCCGCTGCTACATATACCCTTCTCTTTGCTGAAACCAGCATAGACACGACAAGAGCTCTCTCGTCACGATTCCATACCTCTGATGCACTCGAAGCGCCTCCACAGACCTTTCTCTGCGCGGACCTCCTATGTAGCGTTACCCCGGAACCGCCTTACATGGCATTGTAACTGCAATAGTTTATGGTACTCTACGTTCACTCGTGACTCTTGTGCCGCAAAGGGTCTTGATCCTAATAAGTATTTCGAGCTCCCTTTTTTTCCTTGTGGGAGCCGTATGCTGTCGTTAGGACTGACTGCAACTCGATGTGAGCACTTCAAGTTGGTCGGCCCCCGATTCCCAGCAGCCTCTGCTCTAGCATCGGTCTTGGCATCTTGCGTACGCACATACATAAGGGCATCAGTCGACGAAGACGGGGCTCGGCGCATCGAAGACATGCGAACCTGCCTCCTATTGGAGAGGCGTAGACAAAGGGGTGGGTCGCGGCATGGCGAGCGAGCTGTACTAGTAGGGATTTTGGATACCGAGAACAAACGAGACGTCTCTCATGCATGTATCGATATAGGTGAGAGGATGTGGATGAATGCTACCAGTACATAAAGCCCTTATCGGTAGGATGTGGCGATAGCTGATAAGTACTATGGCGCGGACAATAGGCATGTGCTCAGGGAACGGGAGTGGCTCGAAAGGTCAGCCGATCGCTGAGCGACTGCCGTGGACTCCACTCTCTCAGCGTGCGTGTGCCTCGCTTGTCTCACCAGCTTGCATCACAACTCGAGTGCAGAGGGGGCCACTACCATCTTTGTGACGGCTCCTTAGGAGCCTTCCCAGTTGCCATGGTCGTTTGAGCACCCAAGTCCCACAAACAGCTGCAATGCCTACCCAACCACCCAAAGGATGACAAGAAATGGTCAACTTGAATGTCCCAGCCAATCTATATCAGAATATTTCAACACTTTGGCTTGGATGTTTCTCGGGAGACTGGCAAGCTCAATTGAGTTGTAAGGCCATTGCGAGTATCATAGACGGTATAAATGAGCCAGCACGGAGCGACCTGACCCTGAAACCCGATGTCAGTATACCGTCTTGGAGTGCTGGATTGGACTGTGGTACGGCCTCCTCCCAAAGAGATACCAAGCGATGTTCCAAATCCGTTGAACGGGCACTTCTCGCCCCAATCCTATCGGGTCTTGTACGCATTCAGTTTATTCCCAGAATTACTACGTCACTGACCGTTTCTCAGTCCAGGCCTCCCCTGCAGCAAAAAAGAAGCCAGGGTACGATTCTAGAGGCGTGCGCCCTATTCGAGATCTCCGAAGCTGAAGCTATGGAACAGTACAACATGCCGTCCGACGTGTCCCGGCCGGGACAAGGGTGACGGGTCGATCCCGGGCCTCCCTGCCGTGCGACTGTGAGTTACCTTCTAAGATGTCCAGCCTTCTCAGTGTTCATCTAATGGCATGAATTTTCTCTTCAGCAGAGCGATGATTTGTCTCATATTGTATCTGTATAACTTACCTGTATTAGTCGCGACGTGTTTGTTACCAGATTGTTCTTTCCTGCCAGCCACATCCTGTGTGTCACTGCGGTGAAACTGATTAGTTCAGGTAGGGTGTTCGCAGGATATTGATATGCAACTCATTGATGTACCACTGACCGCACTTCGAAATCGTCCCTGTGTACATAAATGCGATCATAGTAGGCTTCCCTCAGCATGAGCACGAGTCCTCAGCGTCGTCTTGTTGAAGACGTATATAGTCTGGCACATTGTGGGTGCTTGCACGGCATGGATAGTCTGAGGGCTCACCTGATCTTCCAATCCTGCAAGCTCGCGGACGTTGACAGCCTTGAGTGGCCTTCCGTCGGAGAGTTACGCCCATATGACTTCTGGTGGAACCCCCATCTTCTGGTAGATGAAGTGGCCCAGACTATGCAACCTGCTGCCATTGAGGAGTTGCAAACATGAAGCGCATATGGGGACGTTAACGTGTACCTCTCCAGACCCTGGCAGAGCGAAATTATCAGTTCGACCACCCCACCGTCCTCTGCCCGGCATAATTGAATCATGGCGTATACTCTGCCAAGTCAAGTAGCATGTTCCGTATCCAGTAGTTCCTATGAGATACAGGGAGCTGCGGTAGGGCAAGGGGCGGCAGGAGCGTGCTAAAACCGGAGCGCGCACTTCGCAGCAGAGTTTACGGTCCACATAGACGCCCCATGCAGACGCCAGGCCCTCACGTGGAGCGTGCTCGATGTGTCACGTGGACAGAACGCGAGCGGCGCGTAGAGTCAGTGGCCAAGTTTGGTTTGCTCGGTCGTCTCGCTCGACGCTGCTCCAATGCTTGCTTTCTCCCACCACACCAATTCTATTCTACATTCGTACACAGTCTGCAATTTGCGTGAATGAGCCATACCTCAACAATACCGCAAACGAGGACAGCCATCTCCCGTAGCTCATCCATCCTCTTGACGCCTTCCAAGCGAAGGAAACTAGACGCCGCCAAGCAGCAAGTACCAGACAACAATGCTCGGACTGCGTCAACGACAGCTCCCTCAAGCGAAAAGGAGGCAGAACAACCTCAGCCCGCTCCAACTGACATACTCCGATGGACGTTCACGAGAGCGGCGGTCACACCCTGCTTCGTACGAGACGTGTTCGAGATGAAACCAAGTGGAATGAGAGGTGAGACATCAGTACTCTGATACGCATGTCTCTCTTTACGCATGCCTCACCTCTAGATATGGAATACTTCTGGTTGGGCCGTATACCTTGTCGAACCGTCCGCCTTGTCGGTCTCCTGGTCGGCGTGGCAGTCTGGGACAAACGCACAGTCTACACGATAGACGACGGGACAGCGATCCTTGATTGTGCATTGGCACATGCTCAACTCGTCCCTCCGGGCCCCGTCAAGCCCAAAGCGAAAGTCGCCGCTCCTGCTCCTGATACCACCAGTAGGAAGGCGGGGCCTTCCTTCTCAGACTATCTGTTCTCTGCACGCAAGGTGGCCCCAACAGCATCTTCCTCGACACATACTCGCGCGGAACCTCCTCCCCCTCCGAAACCCGCCGCACGAGTTGGGAAATCTGTACAAGTCGTAGGACGCGTTGTTTCCAGGCACGATACTCGGATTCTACTTGTGGATGAGATTTGTGAGTCTCCCTATACTTCGGGCAACGGTGGCTGACCGACACTACTCCAGCTCGTTGTGCTTCATATAACGACGAGCCAAGTCACTGGCTCGCTGTGTCCGAGCTGCATCGCACTACCTACTACCCAACAGAGCCATTACCGCCTTTCAACCCACCTCCGATTCCCACACATCCTACATTTCCTGCGCTCAACCGGCCTAATTCACCTTCAAAGCGCGCCAACGTGCAGGGGCCTAAGACCCCCGCCTCCGTCCGTTCTATAGCATCTTCAACGAACACCTCGCCCAGCACCTCCGTAGCCTCGTCCTCCCCTGCATCGAGCACGGCTGGAGATGCGAAGGCAAGTGTGGCAGTGTACGGTATTGCTTCTAGTTGTCCTGACATGAGACGCCACAGGCACCACGTCTACGCCATCCCTCTCGCTTGCACACGCGTGACCTCACCGCGAACACATTCCGTATCTATGTCAAGCATTACATGGACAGCGCACCACGGCCACCTCGAACACGTCACCACTCCGTAACGAGGTCCGTCTCGCCGACTCCGACCCCCCGCACTACACAGCGGATAAGGGACGTGCTAGACACTCCCACCAAGTCCCATAGTCGCCGCACCGATGAGACTCCTCGTCCTTCTCGCCTGCGGGGACGTGACAAGGATCGCACACCTCGCGCGTCTCAGCTCTCACATGTCGAGAATGATACGGACGCAGAGTCGGATGACAAAAATGTCCCCGAGGACGACGGAGACGACGAGATGTACGGCTACACGCTCTCGCACCTCCGCCGCGTCCCCGATCTCTCGCTTCTGGCCCGTCGCGTCATCGCAGCAGACGCCCACAGGCGTGAGAAGGAAGAGCGGAAGAAAGCCAATGCAGCGCCGCAATCCAATCCCTCGGACAAGAGGATAGGCAAGGCCTCGGCACCCCGCAGATCTTCGTCGGCCTCGGGCTCAAGCCAAGGTCCCACTGCGGCTGCCGTCAAGAGGCTCTTCAAGCAGGCCATCCGGACGCTCTTCACAGAGGGCGACATCATCCTCTGGAGCGGGCCCGTTCGCCCGCTCCCCGCCCCCGCTCCTACGCTCGACCCGTTCCTCTCCTCGTCCTCGTGTTCAACTGGCGGGCTCTGGCGAGCGAACACGAGCACGGGCTCGGCTACCTCGGCGCGCTCGCGCCCGTCGTACGAGGAGTGGGACGACGACGCCGCAGAGCTGAGCGATCCCCAGCCCGGGGAGGAGGCGTATGTCCCGCTCACCCCTGCGTACTTCTCGCGCGTGCTCGAGGACGCGATACGGCGGCTGGCGCTGGAGAAGATCTCTCCTGCGGGGGTGAGCGAGGCCATCACCAAGCCCAAGCCGTCGGCGAGCAGGTCGCAGTCAATCATCGAGCGGCTGAGGGCGCAGGAGCGAGAGAAGGAGTTGGAGGCGGGGCCTCCGCCCGGGCCGACGAAGGAGGAGTTGCTGGCATGGTTGCGGAACACGGACGAGCAGTGGGCGCGTGTAGGAGAGTGGACCGTGCAGGAGGCGTTGGAATGGGGACGGAGGGAGGGGCGGTTGTGGTGTGTTGGGAAGGGACGGTGGGAGGTGTGTGGGTGAATGGCATGCGGGGCGTTGGATGCTTGCTAGCTGGGAAGATGGGAACGACGTATCTGTGCTCGAAGTATATACTTCTTCAAATCATCCAGCGATGGCTTATTTCGCACTGGTCACGTTCAACGGGTACTCAATGTACATCTGCTCGATGCCTTCGACTGCAAGCGGCTAGTCGGGCCGAGACCAGCCACAGCCGGGGTCACACGGACCTGCAGTTATGCTGGCATCATCACAATCACCGTTCGAACACGCAACCTTTTCACAACCGGTGGACACTCGAAAGACGGGTATGTGTATCTGAGAAGGCACGACTATACTATGATATGACAGTCTGCTGACTGACGCTAGCGATCTAGATGCTGCGGACGTTGGTGTGGACGTCGTCACGGTTCAGCCAAAGACAGGCTCAGGACGAGTTAGCAAGGACGCTTCGAGGTTCTGGCTGTATCCTACCGACGCTCCAAATCCGCAAGTGCCCGAAGCTCGTCAAATCTGTCCCGAGAAGACACTTCACTGCCGAATCCGAAAGGGCGGAAACCAATGCGGACAGTACCATCGCTTTGGAGAAACAGGCGAAGGTGATCAGGGGGCCTAGGACTCGTATAATTCGGACGCTCGATCCTGCCAAGCTGACTGCGGACGACCACCTCGACTTTAGCTTGCGCTTTGCATGCGCCGTCAATCCTGCACCACGGGACGTGTCAGTGATCGGCACGTCCGAGTATCCCGTTACCGCGGTCAAGTTGACGGCAACTGGATGGGGATTGGCTGGTCGTTATCCTCCCGATACTCGCGGATTCTTGTACTATTTCCTGCCTCCGCATAGTCCTCCACTTGCAGGCGAGATCCGCTTCCGCCGCACACCCTCCTCCGACCCCGCTGGCTTCGCTGCGGGTTCCGACTTGCTCGTCAGCGATGGAAGCGTATGGAAGCTTCCATTATTCAGGCTCGCGGTCCAAAAAATCTTATATCCGCTGCTCCCCCTTCTCCTCCAAGATGGCTTGGTATCGCAGAAGACACTCGAGATCGCTGCACGGTGTTCTCCCATGTCGACATTTGAGGAGGGCGAAACACAGCAACCGGCCAAAGCGCATCGCAAAAACCTTAACTCCGCAGTCAGAACCGTCAGCTTCTTTGGCCAGGAGATCATCCTGCGTCTCTCCAGCGTGCAAAACGGAGTTTTAGTGGCTATAGGCACGGATGCAATCGAACTCAAGGCACTGGGACGCGCCCCCATCAGATTGGCGTCGATCGAACCCCGTGTACAGGGACAGAAAGTTTTTTACAGCCCTTACGAAGGTGGTGGTCTTCATTTATATACATCGCCTGTCTCATTGATGCTAAACGTTCGCCTACCCCATCGGCGACAGGCTCGATTAGGTGCTGCTTTGAGCGATCAACGCTTCCTGGGCACGCCGGCAAGCGTGTCGTCGTCCTCCGCGTAAAGGGTTTCGTGGATCAGGATCCCATACGGGAGGTACCTCCTCCTAGTGGCCTCACATATCCGATAGCGCAGCTAAGACCCCGTGAGGGCGAGCTGTTGATGAATTTCAAGCCTCATAACAAGATAAAGGTTAAACCGTGGGCGGTGGATGTAGATAGGCCTAGGAGGGCGCTGGGCAAGTTATTGAGACTTTTGTACGAGAACGAGAAGCTGTATGGATCACCTTTGTAGCTCGACGCATAGTCGTAGGCTGGATCCTGCTTTGTGAGGCTATTCAAATTTTTTGCGCCTCACCCACTTTGATGTCCCTAGGCACTCTCTGCGGGTATATTCTCATGGGGAGACGTGTTTCAAAAGTGAGATGTCGGGCCTTCATGTTGTCTTCCGGCTGCGGTCCGGGGAACAATCGCCTCCTGTGAATCAAGCGCAACTCACAATTTGTCTGACATCCCGGCGACCCTGATCAACTCATGATGCACGGTGCTAGGCTCATACTTCTCCTCAGTTGTGCCTAGTGTACGCGGCAGAATGCTGCCATTCTGCCGCTGCCATTGTGCCAGTGGCAATTGCCGTTCTGCCAGCGCATCAGGAAAATGTCACGGACTTGTACAGGTACTTGGGGTACTTGGCCAAGTACCTCAAGTATCCCAAGTACCTCAAGTACCCCAAGTCCAATGGACTTGGCCAAGTCGGGTGGGTCGACTTGGCCAAGTACCAGGTACTTGGCCAAGTCCTCCAAGTCCCTGTTCAAGTTCATGCCCAAGTTCACTGTGAGATGTATTGAATAAAGATGATATGCATGGAAGTCAATCAAAGGACAGCTGCTCTTGATCAAGGTCAAGTGTACAATATTTGTTAGCGGGTGCAGCGGCGGCAAAAAAAATGCCACTACAAGGAATTGAACCGGCGACCTGCAAATTCAGTGTCTAACACAGCATGTTCAACCACTACACCACAGAAGCTCACACTGTAGCACAGAATAGCAGCCATATATAGCGCTCTTTGCTGGACTCCGAGAAGTTCTTCACCATCCTCACCTGTACAATAGCAGAACTTGGACATCCACCACTGATACCACTATTCTTGAGCATTATCTGGATATTGTACCTCTGTATCACTACTGAAACAAGCACATTGTAACAACTTAAAGTCTTCTATCACATGTTATTGCCCTTCTTCTCATAGACTATAAAGCTGCTTCTACAGCCTTAAAACAGACTGGTTTACAACTAGTGTATGGTTGTCTATGATAGATATTATTACATAAGAAGTATACAAGATGTGTGACTGATAAAACACCAATTGCTCAAATTGAGGCCTGAGTATACTGAAGTCAACATGTAAAGTCCAAGTTGTGGCCCAAGCACCCCAAGTACCCCAAGTATATAGACTTGGGTCAAGTCCGTGTACTTGGGACCAAGTACATGGACTTGGGGCCAAGTACATGGACTTGAGGCCAAGTACACGGACTTGAGTCCAAGTACACGGACTTGAGGCCAAGTACACGGACTTGAGGCCAAGTACATGGACTTGAGTCCAAGTACATGAACTTGGGCCCAAGTATGGGTCCAAGTCCGTGACGTTTTCCTGATGGGGCCCTGCAAGTACTGGCAAATACTGGCAGATATATTTAGCGCTCATACCAGAAAATGGTCTTAGGAGTGGTTCCCGCAGGCTTCTGATGCCTGGGTACTCATACAAAAGCGTAGAAGTACTAGTATGTGACGGCTTCCACAGCACTGCGTTCTGTGGACCCAGGACGATATTGATTGCTCTCACCTTGTTCTTTGGTGAAAGTGTGACCGGCGCTAGAACAATGAGGAACAGCCTACGCCGCTCTTCATGCACTACACCCCTTCAGAAAGCGTCGAAGCCTCATCTGAGGCTGAATGGTAAGCTGACAACGTTTTCAGGTACTCCCTAGGGCACTCTGATGAATGTATGTCAAGAGGAACTCACTCCAGAGTCCAGACTCGATGTCTCTCCACGGAGGCGCTTGAATATTTGCCAGTTTCTGCCGACCATGGCAACTGCCATATCTGCCATATCTGCCGGCAGAATAGCCCAAAACTTAAGTATCTGCCTTGTACACTACGTGACGTCCCCAAAGCCGCCGGGCGTTTCTTCGGCTATGAGATCAAGCCAATTCTGAGCGGTACTCATGCTGACCGGAGCTATTGTAGACGGCTCCTCGTTAAGTTGGGCGCCTTGTACTCAGGAGACGATAGACTGGGGGTCAAGGGAGCTAGGGAGGTTGTGCAGGTGAAGAACGGTCACCGGAGTCCGGACTTACCATATATGGAGAGTCTGACGGCGTGGCTGGAACATACCCGACGAGTTCTCCACAAAGTTCTTGCGCTGTGGGGAACATAGCCGGGATCGAGCAGAGAGATTCACTGAAGTCGTATTCTGCTTGGTGTAATGAAAAGGAACTCCTCCTCTCTCGTGGAGTATGGGAGTTCGGACGAGGAAGGATCCCAAACGACCTTTGTTCAACCTTCTTCGTCCGCACAGCCGCTTGCGAAGAAGCCTAGGTGAGTGTTCGAGTTGACTACCCCTGTTCCCTGCGACATCCCACAAAGCATTCTCTAGGAAGCTTCCCGCTCTTGGCACTCATCTCCAGCCTCGAGTCCCTGTCGACAATCCTGCCCTTCATCAAGGCAGACGACGCACGACGCCGCATGTCGAGGGTCAATTTGCTGCCTACGTCTACGTCCCAATCGTCATCCCTAGAGTGTCGAAACTACTCGCACTGCTGATGCGAATATACTCGGCTGCGAAAAGACTAGTGCCGTCATTGCAGCCCATTGGTTTCTCGGATGGCGACGCCCTCAAGGAGCCCGGTGAATCATCAAACCTAGAAGCCGACTCAATTGAGCTGCATATCTCGTTGACTCGGCCTACCTATCTACGAGCTCACCAACGTGAAGAGTTCAAGCGTGCTGTAAGATCAGCAATCAAAGCGAAGGCAAAGTGAGCATCCTCTCGACCGCTGAACGATGCAGAACCTGTTGACACTGGTATCGCTCCTCTTAGATTCTCTGCGTCCTTCGTGACATTCTCGGAATTGACGAACGATGAGCGCACACGGACCTTCCTGACTCTGGAGATCGGCGCTGGGCATGACCACGTGAGTACGGCTATGCTGGAGCGACCTGCACTGACTACTGACGGATCGCAGTTGAAGACACTCGTCGAAAATTTGACTCCTGCGCTGCGTGCAATCCGACAAAAAGAGTTCTACGAGGATCCCCGTTTCCATGCGTCCATTGCCTGGGCTCTCCTCGATGGAGCCAAAACACCGATCGGCGACACGACGGGCGAAGTACACCTGCCTTCCACACAAGTGGTATCAAATCGCCACCCGGGCGAACACGGAGTAACCTCAACCTCTAACACGACCGATTTTCCGACCATCTTCCAATTCCCTCCGTCGCTGATACCGCAATTGCGGGCGGAGTTCTGCCATGAGCTAGTCCAGCGTGGAGTAGGAGACTTCGAGGCGCAAGAGGTGCATCTTCGAATAGGCAAAGAGGTCAGCAAGTGGAGGTTGTATGAGTAGATCATCCTCGTGATCCTCGCCGATGTACGGCAAATCCGTTCGAGCCTACATAATGTTACAGGTATCGCAGGTACTGTGTCTAAGCCAATATAAGTATACAATGCTAGGTCGTATCCGAATCAAGATCCGTAGTGGAACGCGAATGTTATTTCTGATCGTTCACAATGTCCTGCAACAGGGGCCTGCCCGTCAAGATAGCTTCCCCAGATGACCTGATAACCTTCGCCCTCTTCGCTTTCTCTCCATCACCACTCACTGCGCGTAGTACACTGTTCTCAGAGGCATCGGAAGTCATGTCTGTAGCACTACGCTTCCGCGGTACCACATTGCCGAAGTTGTGCATGAGGTGAGCGTCAGGAGAGAGAGTCTGGATCCAACCCTGGCGATCCATCAACTCGAAGAAGTCCTTGAGTAATGGCGCCTGTTGGAGGGTCTTCCGCGAGCCGATGATGATGAGCTTTGAGCGTGCACGGGTGAAAGAGACGTTCATCCGGCGCCAGTCTTTCATAAGCTCTCCAATCTTGAAGGGTGTTCAGATAATGTCATTGAGCGATGCACAGCAGGACAGATGACGTACCAAGCCTTCGCTGTTTGAGCGGACCATGGAGATGATGATACAGTCTTTGTCGCGTCCCTGACTTCGGTCAGCGGTCAGGATCTCCAGCCCCTTCCTTTCTTGCAGCAGGTACGATAGGAGCTTGAGCTGCTGTCGATATAGCGAGATGACGCCGATCTGGTGTTGCTCAGCGCCACACCCAAGCAGACATTCCGTCACCTGGTGAACCAAAGAAGCTTCGATCTGATTCTCGACGAGGTCCCCCACGCGGGAATCGTGCGCAGGGACATTGTCTGTGTCGACGAATACGGCCTTGCAGCTAGCAGCAACAAAGCGCGACGTGAACATGAGCCCTGCCTGCTCAACGGAGTAGCAGTTGGACATACCTCTCGCTCATCAGCTGGCTTAGCCAACATCCAGAATCGCGACAAGTCGACCTGCTATGCACAAGCGCCATGAACTTCTTCTCCTGCGGCAAATGAAGGCCCCGCGAGGCCACTGAGTCTGAACCACACTTCAACCGGTTGCTGTATATGAGCTTATTCGACAATAGCATGATGTCCGAGTTCATCCGGTACTGATGCGTGAGGTCGACGACAGCTTCGGGATGCGCGTCCGATAGACGTCGGAATAGGGAGACTTCGAGACCACCCTTTCTCGCAGCCTTGTTCTTGACCTGCAACGCGATAAAGTCACTTGTTAAGTGACGAGACGCGCAATGCTCACCAGCGGCGGTAATTGGAAGTGGTCGCCAACGAGCACAAACTTGTCTGCGAAGCGCAACGGGCCGAGACACGTGGGCAGTGTGATCTGTGACGCTTCGTCGACAATGCAGTAGTCGAACTTCCGTTTTGCAAACAAAGGGCTAAGGACGTGTCGGTACAACGAGCCGAACGGTTCAGACACACCGGAACTCACTGGTCGATGGTCAAGCACGTGGTCGCTACAACAGGCGGTGACATGACCTGGTGTTCCAGTTGCTCGATGGTCTTCGCGAGGGGACGCGCCGCCAATGTGCGAGACTGGACTTCCGGGTGTATCTTGGGGAAAAGGTCCGTATGAAGAAGCAGAACCGCAAACTCGTGCTGAGCTTACCTTGTCGAGGTTGCCTAATCTCAGGACGTCGAAGCCCGCGTCGTCCAGTTTCATCAAGATATTGTCGACAGCAGAATGCGTGTATGACGTGAGCAACACAGTCTTGCCGGCATTGACCAGCTGCTCGATGATGGCAGCAATGACAGTCGTCTTCCCAGTCCCAGGCATACCCAGAATGAGGGCGTAATCCTGAGCACGCAACACCGTCCGTACCGCCAAAAGCTGGTCTTTGTTCAGATGCGCCAAGGCAGGGGCTGTCTTAGCAACCAGGTGGTCGCCCTCATCTTCAACAAAGCGTGGCTCCGTGAGGTCCACGATCAGTTCGAGCATCCGCGAGTCGGCCCCAGCGTAGAACAACTGCGCAAGGTTGTCCCGGATGCGTGCCATGCCGCCGAACATCTCGTCCTTGTCGATCCGGAAGACGACCTTGTCCACGAAGCCCTCCCGTCGGCCACGCAAGCGATCCATGATCATCTCCTCGTCAAGCTCGTGATCGACCCCTAACACGACCGATTCCGGTGCCAGCTCGATGACAAAGCCCCGCGCCAGCGCGAGTAGGCCAGGCTCAACCGAGACGACGACGGCGTCGCCGATACCCATGTGGCCGCTCAGGAGGGAAATACCACCAGACTTCGCTTTCACGAAGCGGTAGGTAAGTCGATGGATCTTACCCTCTTTCTTGGTGGTGGGTTTCAAGGAGTCAGGGGGGGTGTAGAACAAATCGAGGACCATGTCGCTGAAACATCTTCCCTTCTCTTCGCGTTCTGGGGCGGACATCGTCCAGAGCTCTTTACGGAAGCGAACGAGGTCCTTCTCCTCGAGGGAGATCAGCGCCTCCCATTTCTTGAAAAATGCGGCTTGTGCCGAGGTCAGATGGCCGGTCTTGAGAGCGTAGATGTCCGCGATGTCTGACGTGGTGTCCACGACGCCTTCGACAGCCTGATGTTTATACTCATCAGAATAAATCATCCTTGTGTGGACATATGTCGGCCGTACCTTGCGGTATAACATACACGTGTCCAATGCGAAGCATTTACCACATGTCCGGTTGTCGTCGATAGTGGATGGCAGGAATGACTCTAAATCATCTATGGTTGCCTCCCCGCTGACCTGATCTTCAGAGACGGCAATCTCGCCCTTCGCTCTGAGCCGACTCATCATATGCCCCGCTAGCTCATTGCGAGAGACCAGAAGCGCTCTGAGCTCGTTCCTTGCCGCAGGGACCCGGACAACCTCCTCGCTCTGCGTGTAGTACAGCAATCCGCTGGGGATCTCCGTGCCATAACGCTCGCCCATGAGGAGCGTGTAGAGCATCGTCTGCGCCCTATGCTCCATACCAGCGACCGCACGGCCCGTCTTGATCTCAAAAGGCATGGGAGACCTGCTCTCTCGAACCTGCGGTGCCGCGCGAGCGAATGGCGTACTCGAGTCGTCGATGTCTTGCACAACAGCTTCGACGGACGCATCGATCTTGCCCTTGAGCCCGTAGGCAGGGGACCAGATGTCCTCTTCGATGTCGTATAGCTGCGGAATGGCCAGGAGGGATCGCTCGTCGCGACTCGCCCTCGTGTTGGTCATTAGAGCTTCAGGCTGTCATTATATAGTCAGCGGTTTGCACAACATAACAGATATCCCGCAATCACCTTCGGCGAAGGAGCAATATACTTGTCTGCGAAGGCTCTCAGCCCCTTGGCTCGAGCCTTGACTTCAATGATGGCCTGTGGCATGCTCATGCCGATCCTCAGCAGCTCCCCGAGGCTGCGCTGCGCAGCCTCAGAGATCTGCTTGTCCATGAACTTGTCGTCCCACTTCGCGACGCTCAGACATGTCTGCATGACCTCGTGTAGAATGTTACCCCAGACGAGTGACGGGGTGACGTCAGAGCTCGAGCGGACCATGTTGGCCAGGAGAGGCCTCCTCGAACAGTGGGAGGCATTGGAGAGCGAAGTCGAAGTGATCAGGATGTCGGGATGGTGGATAAAGTAGTTCGCCTTGGAACAGACGGATATGGTCAGCACTCCGGTTGAAGGCTCCCTTGACCAATCGCCAATTGCGTTGACAATGTCACCTGTAACAACTGGTTTGATATCTCATCTTACACTCCACAAGTATGAAACCTACCAGGACAGACATCAGCGTGCGTCCAGTCGTCGCGAAGGATGATCTGATGATGTTCCTTGGTCGGTACCGCAGTCACGTCTAAAATCTGAAGCATGTCAGGAACATACAGAATATTTGGCGCAGTGTCAGGGCGCTTTCTGATCTACCTTCTTGGAGCGGCCCTTGACCATGCGATGCTCTACTGCTTTCACTGTACAGCGAGTGACCTTCGGGCCCTTCGCGGTTTCTTCAGAAACAGCGTACCTAGATCGCTGATAGAAACAGTAAGCACAGTGGTATAAAGAGCTGCATGGTATCACTGTCCACCTTCGGTTTGACTGGGCTACTCTTTCGTGGAGTCATAAAGTCAGAGTTCATGTCATCCCAGTCCCAATCCTCAGCTCCATCTAGGAGGGCGTCGAGGTTGATATTTTCTGCGACATGTACCGCAACTTCATGGGTATTACTTGGCAGCTTGGCCAAACACGAGTCTGGAGTCCTGCGTGAGGGATTCTTGGACTTGGTGGCGCGAACGGGAGTGCGTGGTGGAGGGATAGTGGCGACGCGTCGGCGGGAAGGAGAAGAGTGCGGTGGAGGGGCAACGGCGGCAGAGCTGTCAAGCTCCGAGAAGAGGCTATCCAGAAAGTTGGATTCCTCAACCTCCGTATGTCGGGTTGGAGGCATCGTCGGGATCTCGTGGCGGACGCGTCGCAGGCGTGTGTCCACTCAGCCTCATCAACGCGACCCGCGTTCTTTGTCTTTGTTTGGGCTTATGGGCGCTTCACGTGGCTTTCGCAGTGCTTCGTCCAATTGTCCCCGAAACGGTTGTCGGCTCGTTCGAAATGCCTCCTAAAATGATCGATGTCTATCTTTATACTTCGACTGATTATACGATGCAGCATTACACGATAAAAAGCATGAGTAGTGAAGAGTCTCATACAACAGGTCAGAACAGCAAAATGTCGAGCTCGCAGCGTACCACTACTACGCGGATACAGGCATGATGGGCGAGAGCACAACCATCCCATCACTAAGAGGCTCGCTAGCTGGCAGAGCACATATGCAACCGCAGCCGGTCGCACACAGCGCGTCGTCCCGTGCCTGCCAGCACTTGAGATGAGAAACATGGAGACATTTCGAGCAGAGGTGATGCAACCCTTCAGATGTGATATCGTCAGTTGCTGCCCATCATGTCCGCTAAGGCCGTGAACTCACCCTTCACAGTCAGACGACAGATTGAGCAACGGGCAATCAGCCGACTGCGACACTCAAAACATCGCGTAGCTTCTACTTCGTTGGGCTGTCCGCACCCTTCACACGGCCGGAGGTAGCCTACGGGCGAGCAAACTCGGTCAGTGGTCCCACCAGCTTTAGTGAGAAAGCAACCCACCTATTCGTGCAGAGTAGAGCGTCTCATCGGACACGACAATGTCGGGAGACAACCTCTGTATGTCATCCTCGACTAGCTTGAGTAGCTCGCCGCGCTTTTCAGGGAGCTGCCACGCGAGCAGCATCTCGGCATAAGCGAGTACGTGACACAACAGTTGCCCCCGCATCTCAGGGGACAGGAACGATCTGCAAGTTTACGGCATGATGAGTCTCCGAAGGTCCGTGGAGAGACGGCCACAGGTGTGACTCACGGAGGTATCTCATCTGCAGAAGATTGGAATGATATATGTCGCTTCTCCGACAGCGTCGACCGTCCAGACAGCACCTGCGAGAAAGTCGGCCGCCTCTTGGACCCTAATGGCGGCATGGACGCGTTCAGGGTATCCGGTGCTTCCCAGGACAACTTCGCAATCGGCGAGTTTGACGACGGGCGCGCGCTGTCGCGCTTGACCATCGCGCGTCGAGCTCCCGAGGGCAGACCTACTTTCACGCCTTCCGGTGTCGTGCTTGTATGGCTTCGGACACCTTTGTAGCAACTCAATCAAAGGAAGACAGGATAGCAGGGCTGCGAACGCACCGGATACTAACTGCCTCATGCTGCCTGCATTGAACAGACTTGACCACGAACCCTTGGAAGAAGGCGAGTTAAGAGACAACACGCCTCCCGGTGTAAGGGTGGGGGTGGAGGGGTTCGACGAAGCAGGAGAGAATGGGCTGCCCTGGCGATTGCTACGTCTCCGCGGATCGAAGTACTCCAAGCTAATCTTACGCTGCGCGACGAATGCACCGGGCGAGAGCGAGGCAGGTGTTGAGTGCGGCGCAGGACTCGGCTGGTCCGTGTCTGTGCGAGGAGCTCCATCATCAGCATGAGCTACAGACACGTGGAGTCAAAGTACCTCACCAGGCGGGAACGACTTCAGAAGAAGGACAGAAAGGAATACGAGCATCTGAATATCCTTCTCTCTCAGCATCTCTTCGTACCTAGGCTTCATCAGCACGACAGGCCTCGAATTACGGACAGGAGAGGAAAACCTACAGTCTTGTAGCCAACGTAGCCAGCAACGGATCAACTCCACCATGAGCCATTATGACGTTCTGATCCCCCTTCCTGCTCGCCAGCACATGCAACATGCCAAAGATCCGCTCATGATCACTCCTACCAAGTATCCGCGCGACTGTCGCATTGGTTTTGCATACTTCTGCAAAGTCCCTCCCGCTCAGCGCATACTGTGCCCCCGCCTCAGTATCCGGGATACCGAGGATGCCCTCAGTTCGCTTGATGTAAACACTGCTCCGTCTGGTAGGCAGCAAGGCATAGTCGTCCTCCATCGGTCGGGATTGATCCGAAACGCGTCGCGGCTGGCTGATCGGCATCATGTGTGCATGAGGATGAGCGTACGAGAACGTAAAAAGGTTGTCCATGATACGGAGGACGTTATGCGAGCTGCTCGTGTCGTCGCTTCGCTTACGCTCCGCTGACTGAGATTCGCGATCCATGGCGGCGGAGCTGAGTCGTTTGACTGCGTCCGAAAGGAGCGCGGGCGACTGGAAGAGCCGAGACGCACCATTTTGGGGGCGGGAAGCGACGGAAGGAGATACAGAGATTTCACGCAATGGATTGCGAACAATCCTTGGCGGGGCGCGGAAGAAGCAGACAAGTTGGCCTACAATCGTTTTCCAGATTAGCGCATGTGCTGTATGTGATTATGAAGCAGCGTACCGTTGACACCAAACACCCCCTGCGATGTCCGTGGCTCTGCCAGATTCTTGTCTCCCCTGAGGACGGCGGACGTAGGTTCCCCTCTTCGCGCAGTAGGCGCTTCGTCCTCGGATGACGACTCCGAATCGATCGTGGCATGGTGACCGCTGCCCTCCTGCTGATCGTTGAACAACAGGAATCGGAGACACTTCTCCAGACATGGCCGCTGCTTCTCGCGGATCTCGCGGAGCCTGCGCAGGATAAATGCACGCTGCCTCATTGAGATCAAGGGGCTACGCTCCAAGTCCACGGTGGGGACGCCGCCGGGGAAGGTGGCCTGGGGATACTCTCGAGGGAACGTGAAGGTGATTCTGAGGAATACAGACGTAGACTCTCCCCAGGGACCCTGTAGGCCGAACGTACAAGTACGCTTCTTGCCGCTAAAGTCTGCCTGAACATTGAGAGCCTCAACATATGATGAGATAAAGAGATGACCAGAGCCCTACCCTCTCGAGCTTGAGCTTTGGGGAGTTCAGCTTAGCCACAACAGAAGTGATCCTGGAAATATTTTCAGTGTCGTGATAAGAGGGCCACCAATAGCGTTACCCACTCTTCCTGCAGCGTCAGAGCAGGATCCACATACTCCTCCGCCCTTTCCCTCTCCTTCTCCCGACTTGTGCTCGCGTCCCTCGGCCTCGAACGGGCCTGCGACACCGACTGCGACCGCTCCAACACCGACGGCGGCCTCGACCTTGACCCGATCCTCGACACGTCCCCACTATCGCCTCCGCTCCCCGGCCCCGAACTCCCATCTCGGACACCGCCCACCTTGACGTTCGATATCCACTGTAAAGTCGTGATGTGCGACGAGCGGCCCCCCGCGAACGGCCCGCGGCTCATCGTACCGATATTCCCGCTGTCTTTCACGCTCGCCGCCGCCGCCGTCACAGGCGTTGTCGGCACTAACACCGGCCGTGAGCGCGCCTGTTGCCACTCCGGCTGCTCCTCGTGCGCTGGGACATCGGCGGCCTTTTTGTGCCCGGTGGACTCGCGCGGGGCGAACCTGACGAGACGGTGGGGCTGTGGGGCGCGCACTTCGGCGAGGATACCGCGGAAGCCGATGGGCGCTGAGAGCGTCGGGGGGAGGTCGTTGCCTATCGGGGGGTTGCTGAAGGAGACTTTGGAGTCCCTACGGCTGGGTGCAGTAGCCATCGTTCGCGTAGGCGTCATCCCTGCCTTCTGTGAAGTCAAGAAAAAAGAGTGAGGATGGGTAACGCTGACGTCGAAGACGAGGAGCCATGCCTGGATCGTCTCGGTGTCAACCGGCCAAAACCGCAACGTCTTGTCCTTCGACCAAGTGATCAGCTGGAACTCGTTGTTATCTGCTTCTCCAAGTGAGCAAGCACTGCGAGCAGAGCAGGTGCCTATCCCAGGAGCGACTGACCTTGGCCACCACGCCTCCACACGAACTCCTTCACGACGTCTGTGTGACCCTCGAATTTCTCAATTGGGACCGTTGGTTCCTCATGCGCGTACATCTCAAGCGCCGTCTCGCCCCTCTGCGGTAAGCTCAACACGCCCTGGCCGAACGGCAGGTCGCGCGCGCGCCACACGGGGTACGAAGTATTGATGGTGACGTTGGTTGTCGCAGTGTGCGTGTCCCATATCTTGATGGTCTTGTCCAGGGAACAGGTCACGAGCTCATTACGCCTGTCGTGTGCCCAGTCAATTCCGTAGATCTTGGCCTTATGAGCCCGTATCCGTTTGATAGGTAACGACCCTTTCTTTTAATATGTCGTCAGGGGCGGACAGGAGCGAATCGTGAAATCTCACTAACCCGTCTATCCCAGATTAAAACCTCGTCTGAATGAGACGAGGCGAGGATGTTTCCGTCAACTCGATTCCACTTGACTTGGGTTCCGCCCGCTGTAAAAAAGGCGTTGAGTTATAGCACTGTAATGCGAATTTGTCATTGCTACTCACGGCCAAACGCACAAAGCCCTGGAGCATTCGGCCGGTCAATTATCTAAGCCTTCAACGTCTACTGCGCGCTCACCCATGATAGGTTTCTGCACTGTTCGCAGATCCCAAGCCCACTGCCACGAGTCGATGCCTGTGCTTATGACGATGTCCGGCTCGATCGTATGCCAATTGATGTCCGTTATGGCGCGATAGTGAGACCGCAGTACGTGTTCAATGGACGTTCGCCCACCCAAGAACAAATTCCATATGAGTCTTTGTCAGATGAGTGTGAATGAGTGCAAATGTCAGCAGTTGGGCACCACTCACAGCTTCTCGCTCGAGGTAGAGATGATGTATTCGTTGTGCGAGGGATGCGGGTTCCATTGGACATCGGCAACGTCCCAGGTGCCTCCTTGAGGGAGGAAGCTATACGGTAGTTCGGACGATGCGCATGGCTCTCCGAAGAGACGAGACTTACCGAGGTAGGTGAAAGGGTGCTTCCAAATCAATGATGAACAGGCCTTTCCGACTGCATGCGGTATGACGGGTCAAGGCAAGCATTCACATTGTGCAGGACTACATACGCTGCGAGTACCACATCTCGATTGTCTGGGCTGATGCTCATCTGCCCATCGCCCATACCATAATAAGCACACTTGATTGGGGAACACATGTCGCAAGACTCACGTTCCCGACGGCATCCCCCATGAGCACCTTCATGTCTATCTGGAGACTACGCTTGAGATTCGTGCCATCCTCCGGAGAAGGAGGTCCCTCCACGTCCGGCCGGATGGTGGTCGCGGTAGATGCGGGCATCCCAGACAAGGGCGTTGACCCTATATACCGTGCTTCCATCACATTTCCAGATTACGTCCTAGGCTAGCGCGTGAACACGGCAATCTTGCGTAAGAAATGACAAACTGGAGTCAAGTAAGCGTCTGCAGCGGGCGTAGCTAGCAATAAGAGGTGATTTCAGAGAGCGAGACGATGTACGGAGTAGGACAGAGGACGTCAGTGTCCATCTGTAGAAGCTTGCCCTCGGATCGACGGCCCGGGCCGATGCAGCCAGAGGCCCGATTAGACGCCTGATACATCGGCACAGAAGTACTTACAACGCGAGGAATGTCCAGTCTAACGCTTCCAGCTACATAAACACATCTTCTCTGTCCACTCGGTTATCCAGTCGTCGGTCCATAACATCATGTGGGAGTCTCCAACATTGCTCGTAGGGTGTGTCACTTACATGTCTCAGGCCTCCCAAAGGTGCCGGAAAGAGGAAGAACACGACTGTGTATAGTGATGATTCCCCCACACCCCCAGTGCCCGTTAGTGTACTCGTTTTCTGACTCATTCTCAAAGCTGACCGAACCCTGACAAACTCAGACACTTGCGGAACAGCTGTCCTACCTCCAGTATCCTCGGCCCTTCAAGAATCCAAACTACACCAAGAACACGAACCGCCGGACGAAGAATCTGAAGGCGGTCCTTACCCAGGAGCGCGAGCGAGAGAAGAACGAGCGGGAGAGGCGGAGACAAGAGAAGGAAGAAAATATGGATGTCGATGGTGAGCAGCCGGCGGAGGATCCACTTGAGGATGACCTTCCTACATGTGAGTACTGGTGTACACCCTCCAGCGTCAAGCGAACCTACAGCCGCCACTGCAGACGCATCGATTGAGGCACCCCCATCTGTCTTGCCTCAACGGCGATATTGCGATATCACTGGACTGGAGGTGAGGTTCTCCTCACGCCCCGAGAGGTTTGCGGTATTCACCCTTGGTCCGTCTAGGGGCCATACACGGATCCTGCCACCGGGCTCCGATACCATGACAAGAGTATATACGAGCTGATCAGGGGTCTTGTGAGTCCTTTGATGCTAGACACTATCCCTAGAACTCACGCGCGACACAGAGTGCGACAGCAGCAAAGGAGTACTTGTCAGCTCGTGGTGTCAACCCCATCGTCAAGTAACGCAGGTCCGCTTTTCGAAACTGCATCTTTATAGCAGTATGTACTTCTGTTGTAGGATCGTACTGCCTTGTTGGCTTTGTACTCTGTCGAACCAGCATGCTTTTCGTCTTCGATATGCCATCGGCTAGCCGTCAGTCATGTCTTGACTTGAGTCATCGTGATTCGCCAAATGGTGTCCGTGAGGCGTCTCAATGCCAACGTATCAAAACGTGCAATTGGTACGTCTTGAGCCCTCGTCCATTTCCAACGAGCTTAACCCATATCAAACGACAGGACAGCCGTGCCTCCCAGAACCTCATAAGTTGTATCTAGCTCCTTAGCGCCGACATTGTCCGGTGGAGAACCTGCTGACGCAACTGAGCGGAGCATGACCTGCAAAGGAGACTCGAAGGAAGATACGCCCACCGCACCGGTCCTTTTGTCTCCAACTCGCTGGCGTAACTTTCGCCCATGCTGTACCGGGTTGTAGGCATACCTTCGACTAGCGACGAGCGCAGCCAGAGTTCAAGCTTACGCACCTATCATCAACAATTTAGCACCCGTCAGCCACAGTGTGATGGCTTTGGAGATGTCTTCTTGCGCCGCAGTGACTGGGGTTCGTACGAGCGAGTGTGGGTTTCATATGCACAGGTTCAGCACCCTGCATCAATGTGGCCGTGTAGGACCTGCAGTCGTGTGGGTCATCTGTCACCCGCGCTTTCTGTGCGGGACGCTCAAGTCCGCAGCCTTGACTCGAGATGATCGGACGCATGAGGCCCAGATAAAAAAACCTCAATGCTATACGAGGACGCCACCTGTGCCTCGACCATCCTCGTTCACAGCTGAACAAACGTCGATAGTCCATAACCCGCTCTTGAGCAGATCATGTCGTCCTCTGCGGACTCCGCCGAGATTGCTCGCATCATCTATGATGAGAATGCTTAGTGAGTGGTCCTCTGTTTTAGCGTTCTTGACATATAGCTCACATTTCTTAGCATGATAGAGGATCTCACCGGAATAAGCCCTGTGGGTGAGTGTTTTGCGATACCGGCAGATGATATGGAGTGACATGGCCGTCCAGCTATGTTCGTCTATCACTACCTCATCACGTTTGGGCGAGAAGTCGCCCTATTTTGGAGACGGCCGATTACGGGATCCTCTATCATATTCTTTATAAACAGGTACCTCCCCCTATTTGTGATATGCTATGGGACGCCATGGCCGCTATCGTCCGACCTCCAAGTGCGTACACACCTCTAGCTACCAGTGAGACTGTTTCTAACCCTCTCTCGCAGAGGTGAACATCCATGATCCTTGTTACTCGGCTTTGCATGACTGACATCCCGCAGCTGCAAGGCAGAGGTGTGGTCAAAACAATTGACGGAATATTTCCAGTACTATCCATGGGCAGGTGCGCCGTTCATGGGGCTTCATGCTATGCGTAATTGAACTTAACACCGGGTGCAGCATTCTCAGCACTGAGAGTGTACGCTCTCGGCGGGCGAAATTGGTTCCTGGCTGCTTTGGTGTTCATCCTTGGTTGCTCTGGTCCGATCTTCCACTATGTTAGTGACACTGCCAATCGCCGTCGAGGTCATGAAGCCGATGCTGACGACTCTTCAGGTCAGACTGCATTGGCTCCGTATCTTCCTCTACCCAGGAGAGGGGTGCACCTATTCTGTGACCAGTATCCCAGTTCACCTCTCCGCGATGTATGTGTTTCGCTTACGAGCTAGAGCGAAAGCGTCCCTTCTGATACAACGCCCATAGATGTATGCATTTAATTGCCTTACTTTCGGCGTTGTACTGACGGACCTGGACACACTAGTGTTTATCATGAATTATTCGCTTAGCATATCTGCAGACCTCTTGGTCTTGATAGTCACCTGGCGGGCAACGTATAACCAAGGCAAAGGCTTGGCTGGATTAGGGCAGAAGAAGTCTCTTTCGGGAATGTTATTGAGAGACGGTGAGTACCCCCAAACCTGAATTTCGGAGAGTTGTGACCGCCAGACTGATATGCGAGCAATATCACCACAGGTGCTTCATACTTCGTGTAGGAAGAAGCATGCATTGGGCGGTTTCAACCCTATACTGACATGCTCTTGTATGTCATGCTACAGGGCAATCACCACTGTGAAGAGTGTTGATTTCATCCTCGGCCTACTTTCAGTATGTGTTCAGATACAATGATTTCACAGAACATGAGTGTTTGACACCCACCCTGTAGATCTATGGCAGCTTTGAATACTTGAGCGAGGTGGTATATTATGAAGAACCGTAAGCAAGCTTCCGCACTCCTCATGCACCCCGCACGATGATCACGCTGACGCAAGCCTCAGTCTCACAGCTATCTTGGTCTCCCATTTCCTCATGGATCTTCAGGAAGCGAGCACCGACGCGACACAGGGTATCAGCTTCGATGATTCAGATGGGACCATCAATTTCAACCGGGTGGTCGGTTCCATCGCGTCTTCGCTTCCAGCTCCTGGAGAGGAGGCGATCATGACACAGGAGAGGGACTCCGAAGAAGGCACCGGAGACGAAGATTTGTCGGTCGAAGAACATGAAAGCACCTAGTATCGATGAGACCAGTCAATATTGATCAGATCAGCGTGACGCTTTCTTTCTTTCTTTCTAGATCCCGTTTATTGCCCTGCGAGGCCGCGCCTCATGGTAGGCCTTAAACTACAAATACTATCGACGTGAGTAAGAAGTGGGTGTTCGGCTGTACATGGTGAGCACAAGGCTCGAGCTAACTAGGGGGTTGTGGTGGGGAAGTAGCGGTGGCGAACGGGGCAAGGGGAAGTGCTAGGCGATGACCGGAAGGAGGGGTGCAAGGGTACACTAGTGGTGGAATGGTGAGTAGCAGGGCGCAGTACCTATGCGTTGTGGCCGCCTGTCCACCCTTGGCCAGTGAAGGCTAGGGTACGGGTTGCAAACCTGCCGCCCAATGGGTACGATTGCGTCCCTGGGACCCGCCTCTTGCTGCGGTCAGGAGTACGCCCGGCGGTATCCCCGCCGTTCGTCAGAACTCCCCCGCCCCTAGAGCGGGCAGATGCCCGCAACGCATAGGTACAAGGGATCCATTGTCTCGGATACATGCATGACCAGCGGGTATATGTAGGGACACTGTATCGTACTGAACGTGTGTGAGTGTAGCC